CATTTCCCCTTGCAGAATTCAACGCTGCAATGACGAAATTGGCTTTAGCTTTTATAAATTTCTTTACACACCTGTTTCTTAGGGAAACCGAACTGAAGACTGTTGAATCCCCTTCATGACAGCCACCTTTAGGCTTTGTCCCGATCTTTTAGCATGTTTTAGAATGGACTCGTTTAACCAAAGTGAACAGTTCTCTTGGCTTTTATTTAATTTTTGTGTGTAAAAATTAGTAAAAATGTATTTAATTTTGTCTGAGAATTTGCGTCTCTCCTCGGTCCGCGCTGGTCCTCTCTATGCGGTCTCTCCACGGCCCGCGCTGTCTCAGTCTATCGGTCACTCTTCGGTCCGCGCTGGACTCAGTCTATGCGGTCTCTCTTCGTCCGCGCTGGTCCTTCATACTATGCGGTCTCTCTTTCGGTCCCGCCTGGTCTCAGGTCAAAGCGGTTCTCCTCGGTCCCGCGCTGGTTTCTGAGTGTGTCTGGTCTCTCCTGTCTTCTCCACGGGTCAGCATTGGTCTCAGCGCTGGATCTCCTCTCAGGTCGAAAATTACTTTAAGATTCTCTCATACCATTTGGAGCTTCATTTTTAATTAAAACATAATATATTTTAAATAAATCTCCATAACATTTTGAGATTACTCTCAACATTTGCTAGTTCAACTTTATTCTCAAAATATTCGACTTTAAGTCCAACCATTTTATGACTTTTATTCTCAGTCTGGGCAAAAGAAGAAAAAAGTTGAATCCTTTGGCTCCGTGTAACTCTTGCGTTAGCCTGTTTGCTGTTTCCTATGGCTCCTGCACCGGCCCCATTCAGTGCCACTTACAGGGCAATTAGTGGGCGGTTACATATGCTAAGAAACCTATGCAAATGAAGCACCGGGCACGCGCGCTCTACTACGAGGATTTGGCCATTCCATCAATCAGAGAGAACAGCTGCGAACAATTCTGCGGCTTACGAAGCACGTTGATCATTATCCCCACGTATGGTCTTCTAGCTATCTACTGAAGAACAACTTGAGAAAAATTTAAGATGGTTTCTTACGAAGGTATTCGTGAATGAGGCCCAATGGTCTCTGCCCCTTGTTGAAATATTTCCCTTGCCCTGTTTTAATTTCATTTCCAGTGTTTATGATCAACCGATTTGTGTGAATCAGGCAACTCATCAGTTTTGTAAACTCTTCAGATGACTGCAGGTTGTGATTTCGGGCTGGCCACAAATACATATCATTGGATTGAAAGCAAAGATATAATGCAATCAGAACCCTCAGAAAGAGTGGTCCAGGGGTCCCCTAGTAAATGTTTAATAATCCTAGACGTCAGTTATAAAAAACATCAATACGTGATCAATACAATAAATAATGAATTTACAGTGTGGGGGGGACCCTCGTTGTCCCTGATTTTGGTAGCTGTGCCTCTGCTTCGAAAGAGAAAAACTCTCTTCTCTTCGCTCCTCTACTCTGCGGCTTTAAACTGACAAAATCTTTTGCATTTGAGACCTAAAAACAAATCGATTAAAGAGACAAAGGGTAAGACATAAACTGTGTGCAACTTTTAGGATTGATTGAATGGAGATAGATCCTGCTATAACAATATGAACATTTGGGAGAAAAATTTTAAAAAAAGATTGCAATTGAAAGGATGGTCAACTGCAGTAAAAAAAAAATCTCCCCGGACCTAATTATACCCATCTAACATACAAAAATGAGACAACAATCAGATCACTGTATTTTTTCCTCCAGGAGACATAACAACAAGGCGCCAGCTACCCCAAGCTATGCAAATCCCATGCAGCCCAGTAGGAATTCCTTTGTGTCCAACCAATTTTGACTTTAGACTTTGTTTTTTCATTTGAAGAAGAGCCAACCTGTGCAAAACCGCCAGCACAGCTCTACTCACATTGTCTTATAGATGCATCAATGGTTCAATTCAATGTATTCTGTATAGCCCTAAATCACAACTGTAGTTATCTCGGAGGACATTACAGAACCGTTGATTTGCCCACACAGATCATAGAAACCATACAGTTTCAGGTGTAACCCCTGAAGTGGCGTTGCTGGTTTGTTTTGTCAGGAGTATTCCATATTATTTAATAAGAAATAATCAAGTTGCATATAACCCCCTGGCTGTCACAATGTGAACTTCACACTACTTCCTGGATTACTTTTGGACATAATTTAGAGTGTACAGAACTTGCCTTTGTTGCGATTTCATCAGGAAAAAACTGTAGTTCTCCCGTCGACTCCAACCCAGGGCTGTCCTGCCTCAAACCTGGAGTTCCAATGCAGTTCCGTGTGCAGAAGGCCTTGTTGTTGCTCCTGGAAGTCCATGTTTGAGACAAGCTCAGCTCCTGTAAGAAGTGTTGGGATCCGGCTCGAAGGACCAAGTGATAATGCTGTTTCAACTACAGTTGAACCTGATGAAATCTCACACAACAAAGAGACAAAGTTAATCTTTTACTTGTTACATTGTCACAAGGAGAATGTCATGACAGAGGCAAGGCACAGACCCTAGCCTCTCTCAGGACAAGTCTGAAGATTCACAGATGGCAAGCCGCTTTTGGTAGAACAAGACACACCTTCGTATGCAGATGGGAAAGGAAGAAACCAACACAACAAAAGACACTTAGCATATGAGCTCCCCAGACCTCCCGGTGTCTTTCTGAAGCTAAAGTGAATTAAAATACAGAGCATTCAGCACATAGCCACATATGATTTACCAAAATGATAACTTAAGTTACATTCCAATATCACGTTTTTAAAGGATTAGAGGCAAGATCGTGTACTGCAATTGTGAAAAACAAGATTTGCCAACAACAGTGGCAGATCTGTACAGTGGGGCAAGTATTATGTCACCCACCAGCTGTGCAAGTTCTCACATTAGAAAAGATGAGGGAGGCCTGTAATTTCCATCATAAACCTCAACTATGAGAGACAGAATGAGAAAAAAACCTCCATAAAATCACATTGTCTAATTTTTTTTTTTTTTTTTTTTTTAAATGATGGTGTAAAATAAGTGTTAGTTAGGTCCAAAGTGTCACCGACTGTAGCTCCTTCTTCAAGAGTCTGTCCTCCTCTCGTTTTCTGTATTAAACCTGTATCAAACTCAAAACTCCACTAAGACCAAAGAGCTGTCAAAGGACAACACTGTAGACCTGCACCAGGCTGGGAAGACTCACTCAGCAATAGGTAAACAAGAAGAACCACACAGGGACCCAGAGAATGACCCGCAGAGAGCTGGGACCATGGAACAAAGGTACCATCAGTAACACACTAGGCCCCAGGGACTCCTTGCAGTGCAAATAAATTCTTTAAAATAAAACAAATGTGATTTTCTAGATTTTTTTCTTATTCTGTCTTTATAGTTGAGACTGGGCGGCACGGTGGCTGAGTGGATAGCACTCTCGCCTCTCAGCAAGAAGGTCCTGGGTTCGAATCCCGGTCGGACCAGGGCCTTTCTGAGTGGAGTTTGCATGTTCTCCCCGTGTCTGCGTAGGTTTCCTCCGGGTACTCCGGTTTCCCCTACCGCTAAAAATATGTCCAATAGTTCTGACATGTGCCTCCTGTACTGGCCCCGCTCCCATCTCTGTGTGGAGTGAGAGACAAATGCCCAAAAAATAACAATTGTAAACCGCTTTGAGACTCAGATCTGCAGTGAAAAGGCGGTATATAAATGATTACTTACTTACTTACTACTTACTAAGATGAAAATTACAGGCTCCCTCGTCTTTTTAAGTGAGAGAACTTGCACAACTGGTGCTGACTAAATACTTGTTTTCGGTAATGCGGTAATGCGACCTTAAGCTTATGTTTAAACACACAGCAAAACAAGTTAAGGAGTTTAAATACTTGGGTGTTATTTTGGACCCTAAGTTAAGTTTTGATCGGCATGTTAAAAAAATGACTAAGACCATAAAAAGAAATATAAATTGTTTCAGGTTGATTAGACCCTGCTTATCAGTTCAAGCTGCACGGGTTTACATGCATGCCATGATATTATCCCACATGTCTTATTGTGCCATTGTCTGGGGTCAGGCCACAAAGTCTGTAGTGAAGCCTTTGCTATCATTATATAAACAAACACTCAAAATATATGATCGAAAGCCAATGAAGCATCATCACTGCGAAATTACTGAAAAATACAACATGAGTTTTGGTAATTTTATACATTTTACCTTTTTAAAAGCTTTGTTTAAGTGTCTTAATGGATTAGCCCCTGAAGTAATGTGTAAAAACATCCGAAGGTGCAGCAGTGAGGGTGTGCAGACTCGAGCTGCAGTCAGTGAGAGCTGCAGTCAGTGGGAGCTGCAGTCAGTGGGAGCTGCAGTCAGTGGGAGCTGCAGTCAGTGGGAGCTGCAGAGTGAGAAGGTGCCGGACGACTCTGGGTCAGTCTGCATTCTCAGTGAAGGCCTCACATCTGTGGAACTCTTTGCCGCTGGAGCTGAAGTCACAGTCGGACACTAGACTTTTCTCCACTAAACTGAAAAAGTGACTTAAGGAAAATCAGAAGTGTGAGCACTAAACCTGAATGTAGTATGGACAAATGGGGTCAGTTATTTTTATTGATCTGTGGTTGTTCTTTTCTCCCCTTTTTAAAAAAAACTTGTTTCTTCGCTTTCTCCAAAAGCCTAACCAGGGACGGGGGCTGCAAATTAGCCTTTGGCTAGAAGCCTTGTGTACTTCACATCGGTTACCTGTGAGTGACAATGTTTTTTGTACTGTCCCTATCAAATAAATAAATAAATAAATAAATAAACAGAGTGTGTATCAATATGACTTTTGTTGTAGTCTGTTCATTGCTATTCACCCACTGCCCCATTGTTTGTTTCATGGCGTGATGAGTTGTAGGGCTATATACAGTGAATTACATTAACATTTAGGGGACTCAGCACTCGCCAATAACCATTAAAATAACAAACAAATGTCTCCTTCACAATCATCCGTCCATGGAAAGATCATTGGCTCGGTGAGTTCCATCTCATTTACACTGACACTGGACTTTTCAGATCTTTCTGGAGGAGCAGGAGACGAGTGCTGCAGAGTGATATGAAACACATCCCAGTTCTCTGGAAGCACACCTCTGCGGAACAAGACCGACGCCAAGTAGAAGAACAGGATAGCCAGCAGACTGCACAACATGCACAAGGTTTTAACTGGAGAGTGCTGCACATAGACACTGTCCTCCAGAGTGCATCCTGGGAAATGTAGCACCACAGGCAGACCTATGGTTGGGTCCCCACACAGAAGCCTCAGGGGTATTCCTAAAAGAAAGCCCACTATGGCTCCATATCCATTTGTGATGTTAAAGAAAAGAACACAGACTGATGTTGTAAGTGATTTCAGCTCCAATGAACCAGAAAAAACAAACCAGTTTCTCTGCGTAGTTAGAAATGCTCCAATCACACCTGAAACAATGACCGACACACGGATCACCCACTGGACCTCTCTGTCTGAGGCCCGAGGAATAGGACACAGGACACAGCATTGGCTTCCTTTACAATTTCCAAAAGGATTAATAACTCACCTGAGGTCGCAAGATCTTCTTGTAGATGTTGGAGGAAAAGACAGAAGCTGCAGCCAGCATCGAAGAGTCTGCAGAGGACATGACAGCGGCAGCCACACAGTGCTGCAGAGCAATGGGCAGAACCTGAGCGGCTTCTCCTCGTAGACGGAGATCCATAAGACGTCTGGTTCCAGTCTGAAGAGAGGGTCACAAAGGACTGAGGTCATACTGCATCAATTAAATACATCATCTGCACTATTATGTTTGGTCTAAAAAGTTGCTAAACATCTTTAGTTGATCTTATGGTCAAGTCACTTTGACCTTGAGAAGGTGCTCTTACTGTATATAATGACTCCATATATGGTCATGCTTGATATCAGGTCCAACATACCTGTCGAAGCCACTCCTGCCCCAAGGAGAATAAGAGGTATTCCAAACACTGACATAAGAAAAGCGGCGATGCAGCAGGTGGCTTTGGCTGTTCGTGTTGAAGAAGCTGGTCTGCTGGTGGAAACATTGGTATCCCAGACTTCCAAAGGCCTATAAGCGAAGAATTGTGTAATACGAATTGAATATTGTCAAAACTATGAGTATGTTTTAACTTACAAAAAATAAAAAGTCGTCCAGTAAAATCCCAGCCTTTTTGGGATCTAAATTTCCAATCCAAGGAGCGTGTAAAGTATTATTGAAGAGAGTTTGTCCAATGTCCAGAGTGGAAGGATTCATCAGGACAAAGTGGACACACGTCCACTGCGAAGAGACACATTTTAGGGAAGAATCAGAATCAGAATCATTTTTATTGCCACGTAAGTAACAGGAAGTCACAGACTTGGAAATTGCTTTGGCTCAGTGCAACAGTCAGAAAGAGATAATAAAAATAAAGAATAAAAAACACTTCTAAGGAATAAATTTAAATTTAAAATAGAGTTGCAGTTAATATTTACAATATATCTCTATTTTAAATTTAAATGTATTCTTTAGAAGTGTTTTTTATTCTTTATTTTTATTATCTCTTTCTCACTGTTGCACTGAGGCAAAGCAATTTCCAAGTCTGTGACTTCCTGTTACTCACGTGGCAATAAAAATGATTGCCACGTAAGTTAATTTCATGATTTCCAAGAAAAGCCATCTCCATCTCTGAGGCTGCACTTTCTCTCTGCTCTCTCCTGGACTTGAAGGAGGCACAGATCCCAGACCCCAGAACCAGAAGGTAGAAAAGCACAATGGATATGACTCCAGGTGTGTTCACCGCCATCGTGCACAGTCACGTGCACAGTGACGTGCACAGTGACGTGCACAGTGACGTGCACAGTGACGTGCACACATGTCACTGAGATGAAGTCATCGCGGCCAAGAGGAGGAGGAAACTTGTTATTAACTTGAGGAGACCGGTCAGCTGACGGAGAAGCCCCTGAGGAGACCGGTCAGCTGACGGAGAAGCCCCTGAGGAGACCAATCAGCGGACGGAGAAGCCCCTGAGGAGACCAATCAGCGGACGGAGAAGCCCCTGAGGAGACCGGTCAGCTGACAGAGAAGCCCCTGAGGAGACCGGTCAGCGGACGGAGAAGCCCCTGAGGAGACCGGTCAGCTGACAGAGAAGCCCCTGAGGAGACCGGTCAGCGGACGGAGAAGCCCCTGAGGAGACCGATCAGCTGACAGAGAAGCCCCTGAGGAGACCGGTCAGCGGACGGAGAAGCCCCTGAGGAGACCGGTCAGCGGACGGAGAAGCCCCTGAGGAGACCGATCAGCGGACGGAGAAGCCCCTGAGGAGACCGGTCAGCTGACAAAGAAGCCCCTGAGGAGACCGGTCAGCTGACAGAGAAGCCCCTGAGGAGACTGGTCAGCTGACAGAGAAGCCCCTGAGGAGACCGGTCAGCTGACGGAGAAGCCCCTGAGGAGACCGATCAGCGGACGGAGAAGCCCCTGAGGAGACTGGTCAGCGGACGGAGAAGCCCCTGAGGAGACTGGTCAGCTGACAGAGAAGCCCCTGAGGAGACCGGTCAGCTGACGGAGAAGCCCTTGAGGAGACCGGTCAGCGGACGGAGAAGCCCCTGAGGAGACCGGTCAGAGTTTTTATGTTAGTTTAAGAGTAAAAGACTAAAGTAAGGATAGTGCGGTGAACACTCACAGCTGAATTTCAGATTCCCTTTCCGTCCCTGACTAGAGCCTACACAAACTTCTCTCTACCCAAAGGCATTGGCTCACTCTTGAGAGCTTGTTTTGACATGTGCATGTTTCCATCCCTGATCTAAATACTGTATAGATCTCCACGATCTCAAAACAAACTTTTTGGCTCTCACAAAAGAAGCGTGGAAGGCTTAAGAACACACTCTGACAGGTATGTGGGTTAAGAATCACATGATGGTGCCTTTTTAAAACCCTCAGTGATTTATAAATAACCTTGCCTGGCCTGCCAGACACTCCTCCTTTCTGTTCAAAAGAAGAACCGTCTGGACACCTCTTCCTAGCCTATCATTTCACGATTTTACCCACATCGGTCCAATCACGCACCGAGAGGCGGGACTTCCTTTCACCTTTGAGTTGCTAATAACTCCTCGTATCTTTAAGTTTTTGTTACAAAATCGACAGCAGTCGTTTACATTTGCACTAGCTGACATGCCGCCATCCCTTGTTTTGTGTTTACTGAAACGGCTTGGGTGCCGCTAGTTGCTGCGTCATATCCTGTGTGCATCTAATTGGTTGATGCAGTCTGTCAACCACGCCCACCGGGAATTCGCTGAGATCAAGCTCGTTCCCAGACTATTTGTCTTTGAAAAAGCATATCGTTTGGCAGGCCAGGCAATAAATAACCTAAATATTGTTTTTTTCAAACTGATTCTTGATGATTGTTCCAACCTTGACCCTGACATTTTGGGCCCTTCTAGACCCTTCTTTAGGGTATTCATCTTCTACATTTCATCATCTGTAACCGAGGGTAGCACAAGGCTGCACCATCAAGACACAGGACTGGGGCCTTCAGAGCCTCAGGGATCAGACAGGAACTCATGAACCATGTGTCATGAACCATGTGTCATGAACCATGTGTCATGAACCATGTCCTGCAGATCCTTTTCATGCCTTGGTCTTTCAGTAGTCGACAGTGTCATCAGAACAATAGAGAACAGTCTCTGGGCAGCTCCTGTCATGGGCCCCGGGTGTCTCTGTGCAGTTTATGGACATTTAGTTATTTCCACTGAGTTTGTGATTCTGTGTCATGATAATGACATATATACATCTAAACCAGTGTTGTACTCATATATACAGTCATATATACTGTACATCTAAACCAGTGTTGTGCTGATATATACAGTCATATATACATCTAAACCAGTGTTGTGCTGATATATACAGTCATATATACATCTAAACCAGTGTTGTGCTAATATATACAGTCATATATACTGTACATCTAAACCAGTGTTGTGCTGATATATACAGTCATATATACATCTAAACCAGTGTTGTGCTGATATATACAGTCATATATACATCTAAACCAGTGTTGTGCTGATATATACAGTCATATATACATCTAAACCAGTGTTGTGCTGATATATACAGTCATATATACATCTAAACCAGTGTTGTGCTGATATATACAGTCATATATACATCTAAACCAGTGTTGTGCTAATATATACAGTCATATATACATCTAAACCAGTGTTGTGCTGATATATACAGTCATATATACATCTAAACCAGTGTTGTGCTAATATATACAGTCATATATACTGTACATCTAAACCAGTGTTGTGCTGATATATACAGTCATATATACATCTAAACCAGTGTTGTGCTGATATATACAGTCATATATACATCTAAACCAGTGTTGTGCTGATATATATAGTCATATATACATCTAAACCAGTGTTGTGCTAATATATACAGTCATATATACATCTAAACCAGTGTTGTGCTGATGCTGATATGTATACAGTCATATACGTCATATTACATCTAAACCAGTGTTGTGCTGATATATACAGTCATATATACATCTAAACCAGTGTTGTGCTGATATATACAGTCATATATACATCTAAACCAGTGTTGTGCTGATATATACAGTCATATATACATCTAAACCAGTGTTGTGCTGATATATACAGTCATATATACATCTAAACCAGTGTTGTGCTGATATATACAGTCATATATACATCTAAACCAGTGTTGTGCTGATATATACAGTCATATATACATCTAAACCAGTGTTGTGCTGATATATATAGTCATATATACATCTAAAACCAGTGTTGTGCTAATATATACAGTCATATATACATCTAAACCAGTGTTGTGCTGATATATACAGTCATATATACTGTACATCTAAACCAGTGTTGTGCTGATATATACAGTCATATATACATCTAAACCAGTGTTGTGCTGATATATACAGTCATATATACATCTAAACCAGTGTTGTGCTAATATATACAGTCATATATACTGTACATCTAAACCAGTGTTGTGCTGATATATACAGTCATATATACATCTAAACCAGTGTTGTGCTGATATATACAGTCATATATACATCTAAACCAGTGTTGTGCTGATATATACAGTCATATATACATCTAAACCAGTGTTGTGCTGATATATACAGTCATATATACATCTAAACCAGTGTTGTGCTGATATATACAGTCATATATACATCTAAACCAGTGTTGTGCTAATATATACAGTCATATATACTGTACATCTAAACCAGTGTTGTGCTGATATATACAGTCATATATACATCTAAACCAGTGTTGTGCTGATATATACAGTCATATATACATCTAAACCAGTGTTGTGCTGATATATACAGTCATATATACATCTAAACCAGTGTTGTGCTAATATATACAGTCATATATACATCTAAACCAGTGTTGTGCTGATATATACAGTCATATATACATCTAAACCAGTGTTGTGCTAATATATACAGTCATATATACATCTAAACCAGTGTTGTGCTGATATATACAGTCATATATACATCTAAACCAGTGTTGTGCTGATATATACAGTCATATATACATCTAAACCAGTGTTGTGCTAATATATACAGTCATATATACATCTAAAACAGTGTTGTGCTGATATATACAGTCATATATACATCTAAACCAGTGTTGTGCTGATATATACAGTCATATATACATCTAAACCAGTGTTGTGCTAATATATACAGTCATATATACATCTAAACCAGTGTTGTGCTGATATATACAGTCATATATACATCTAAACCAGTGTTGTGCTGATATATACAGTCATATATACTGTACATCTAAACCAGTGTTGTGCTGATATATACAGTCATATATACATCTAAACCAGTGTTGTGCTGATATATACAGTCATATATACATCTAAACCAGTGTTGTGCTGATATATACAGTCATATATACATCTAAACCAGTGTTGTGCTAATATATACAGTCATATATACATCTAAACCAGTGTTGTGCTGATATATACAGTCATATATACATCTAAACCAGTGTTGTGCTAATATATACAGTCATATATACATCTAAACCAGTGTTGTGCTGATATATACAGTCATATATACATCTAAACCAGTGTTGTGCTGATATATACAGTCATATATACATCTAAACCAGTGTTGTGCTAATATATACAGTCATATATACATCTAAAACAGTGTTGTGCTGATATATACAGTCATATATACATCTAAACCAGTGTTGTGCTGATATATACAGTCATATATACATCTAAACCAGTGTTGTGCTGATATATACAGTCATATATACATCTAAACCAGTGTTGTGCTAATATATACAGTCATATATACATCTAAACCAGTGTTGTGCTGATATATACAGTCATATATACATCTAAACCAGTGTTGTGCTAATATATACAGTCATATATACATCTAAACCAGTGTTGTGCTGATATATACAGTCATATATACATCTAAACCAGTGTTGTACTCATATATACAGTCATATATACATCTAAACCAGTGTTGTGCTGATATATACAGTCATATATACATCTAAACCAGTGTTGTGCTAATATATACAGTCATATATACATCTAAACCAGTGTTGTGCTGATATATACAGTCATATATACTGTACATCTAAACCAGTGTTGTGCTGATATATACAGTCATATATACATCTAAACCAGTGTTGTGCTAATATATACAGTCATATATACATCTAAACCAGTGTTGTGCTGATATATACAGTCATATATACATCTAAACCAGTGTTGTGCTGATATATACAGTCATATATACATCTAAACCAGTGTTGTGCTGATATATACAGTCATATATACATCTAAACCAGTGTTGTGCTGATATATACAGTCATATATACATCTAAACCAGTGTTGTGCTAATATATACAGTCATATATACATCTAAACCAGTGTTGTGCTGATATATACAGTCATATATACATCTAAACCAGTGTTGTGCTGATATATACAGTCATATATACATCTAAACCAGTGTTGTGCTAATATATACAGTCATATATACATCTAAACCAGTGTTGTGCTGATATATACAGTCATATATACATCTAAACCAGTGTTGTGCTGTTTCCAGCTCCTCCTGAATCCAAACATCTCTTGGATCCGCTGTGGTCTGAACTCGTCCAGATCTATTCATTTCTCTTCACAAACTTTCACAGCTTCAGATTCTAACTTTCTGGACTTTCCTATTCCCGCCGATCCTTTGAATCAGACCCCGAAGTTTGTGAAAAATGAACCCCAATAGAATCACAAAGTTCTCTCCAATCATCTCTTTAGCATGTTCAAGTTTATAGGCACGTTGGCTGAGTGGTTAGCACTCTCGCCCCTCAGCCAGAAGGTCCTGGGTTTGGATCCCGGTTGGACCAGGGCCGCTCTGTGTGGAGTCTACATGGTCTTGACAATACTCATCATCTTCATGGTTAGAAAACATGGACCTCTGACAGTTATAATCTGATGTAGTAACGTTAATAAAGATAACGGCTATAACGGGTTAGCATCAGCTATGCTAACAGAAGAATGTTAAAACTTCAACAGGGCTGCGTTCTGACCAATCAGAGGGCTGCGTTCTGACCAATCAGAGGGCCGCATTCTGACCAATCAGAGGGCCGCATTCTGACCAATCAGAGGTCCGCGTTTTGACCAATCAGAGGGCTGCGTTTTGACCAATCAGAGGGCTGCGTTTTGACCAATCAGAGGGCTGCGTTCTGACCGGTGGTAATGGTTCTATAATTGTCTCCTGTCTGAAATATAACCCATGCTGTCCAACATTAAAATGAAGATACAAACATGAGGCATGTGTTTATGTTCTGTTTGTTTTTACAGCGTTATTTTTACACACAAGTTACAAGTGGAGTCAAAATGACGGTAGCGCGGGGTTTGGTCAGTCTGTGGTGAACTTTACTCTGAAGGGAACAGGAAAGACTGAAACTGAAAACCCTCCGTGTGACTGCGGACAGATGACCACTCTGCTCCCTGCTCTGCTCCGTGCTCTGCGGCGGAGGTGTGCGGGGCTGCAGCTGGGACTTTAGTCTGGACAAGTTTGGATATGTTTGTTTGTGTTTTCTAACGTTATATTAGTGACATATTTACAGCAGAGACATGGACACTGACCTCCTGCTGAGAGGTGAGTGGCAGCAGTGTGCCATTCATTACTCTGCCAAGAGTAATAACACTTTGTTTTTCTGCTGCAGATGTCGCTCAGAGTGTCTCTCCACAGTCCCAGAGGAGGTCCAGTGCCTCTCCACAGTCCCAGAGGAGGTCCAGTGCCTCCCCACAGTCCCAGAGGAGGTCCAGTGCCTCCCCACAGCCCCAGAGGAGGTCCTGTGCCTCTCCACAGTCCCAGAGGAGGTCCTGTGCCTCTCCACAGTCCCAGAGGAGGTCCAGTGCCTCCCCACAGCCCCAGAGGAGGTCCAGTGCCTCCCCACAGCCCCAGAGGAGGTCCTGTGCCTCTCCACAGTCCCAGAGGAGGTCCCAGAGGAGGTCCAGTGCCTCTCCACAGCCCCAGAGGAGGTCCCAGAGGAGGTCCAGTGCCTCTCCACTGCCCCAGAGGAGGTCCCAGAGGAGGTCCAGTGCCTCTCCACAGCCCCAGAGGAGGTCCCAGAGGAGGTCCAGTGCCTCTCCACAGCCCCCGAGGAGGTCCAGTGCCTCTCCACTGCCCCAGAGGAGGTCCCAGAGGAGGTCCAGTGCCTCTCCACTGCCCCAGAGGAGGTCCAGTGCCTCTCCACTGCCCCAGAGGAGGTCCCAGAGGAGGTCCAGTGCCTCTCCACAGCCCCAGAGGAGGTCCCAGAGGAGGTCCAGTGCCTCTCCACTGCCCCAGAGGAGGTCCCAGAGGAGGTCCAGTGCCTCTCCACAGCCCCAGAGGAGGTCCAGTGCCTCTCCACAGCCCCAGAGGAGGTCCCAGAGGAGGTCCAGTGCCTCTCCACAGCCCCAGAGGAGGTCCAGTGCCTCTCCACAGCCCCAGAGGAGGTCCCAGAGGATGAGTAGACAGCAGATCCTGACCCTCATCTCTGTCGCATCTGTCAACTTCAGCTCTATGATATGTTACTCCATTTTAGGACCCTTTTTTCCCAACGAGGTACTGTACCTGTGTCTTTGTCTGCACCTGTGTCTGTACCTGTGTCTTTGTCTGCACCTGTGTCTGTACCAGTGTCTTTGTCTGCACCTGTGTCTTTGTCTGCACCTGTGTCTGTACCTGTGTCTATACCAGTGTCTGTACCTGTGTCTGTGTCTGTACCAGTGTCTGTGTCTGTACCAGTGTCTTTGTCTGCACCTGTGTCTGTACCTGTGTCTATACCAGTGTCTGTACCTGTGTCTGTGTCTGTACCAGTGTCTGTGTCTGTACCAGTGTCTTTGTCTGTACCTGTGTCTGTACCTGTGTCTTTGTCTGCACCTGTGTCTGTACCTGTGTCTGTACCTGTGTCTTTGTCTGCACCTGTGTCTGTACCTGTGTCTATACCAGTGTCTGTACCTGTGTCTGTACCAGTGTCTGTACCAGTGTCTATACCAGTGTCTGTACCTGTGTCTGTGTCTGTACCAGTGTCTGTGTCTGTACCAGTGTCTTTGTCTGCACCTGTGTCTGTACCTGTGTCTGTACCAGTGTCTTTGTCTGCACCTGTGTCTGTACCTGTGTCTTTGTCTGCACCTGTGTCTGTACCTGTATCTGTACCTGTGTCTGTACCTGTGTCTGTACCAGTGTCTTTGTCTGCACCTGTGTCTGTACCTGTGTCTTTGTCTGCACCTGTGTCTGTACCTGTGTCTTTGTCTGCACCTGTGTCTGTACCTGTATCTGTACCTGTGTCTGTACCTGTGTCTGTACCTGTGTCTGTACCAGTGTCTTTGTCTGCACCTGTGTCTGTACCTGTGTCTTTGTCTGCACCTGTGTCTGTACCTGTGTCTGCACCTGTGTCTGTACCTGTATCTGTACCTGTGTCTGTACCTGTGTCTGTACCTGTGTCTGTACCAGTGTCTTTGTCTGCACCTGTGTCTGTACCTGTGTCTTTGTCTGCACCTGTGTCTTTGTCTGCACCTGTGTCTTTGTCTGCACCTGTGTCTGTACCTGTGTCTTTGTCTGCACCTGTGTCTGTACCTGTGTCTTTGTCTGCACCTGTGTCTGTGTCTGTACCTGTGTCTTTGTCTGCACCTGTGTCTGTACCTGTGTCTGTGTCTGCACCTGTATCTGTACCTGTGTCTGTACCTGTGTCTGCACCTGTGTCTGTACCTGTGTCTATACCAGTGTCTGTACCTGTGTCTTTGTCTGCACCTGTGTCTGTACCTGTGTCTTTGTCTGCACCTGTGTCTCTACCTGTGTCTTTGTCTGCACCTGTGTCTGTACCTGTGTCTTTGTCTGCACCTGTGTCTGTATCTGTACCTGTGTCTGTGTCTGCACCTGTGTCTGCACCTGTGTCTGTACCTGTGTCTGTACCTGTGTCTGTACCTGTGTCTGCACCTGTGTCTGTATCTGTGTCTGTACCTGTGTCTGTACCTGTGTCTGTGTCTGCACCTGTGTCTGTACCTGTGTCTGTACCTGTGTCTGTACCTGTGTCTGTACCTGTGTCTGTACCTGTGTCTGTACCTGTGTCTGTACCTGTGTCTGTACCTGTGTCTGTACCTACTTTCTATTTCAGCACAAAATGTAAAGTGTTGATTATGATTAAATGTTTTTCTCTTTCTGTGCAGGCGATAAAGAAGGGAGCGAGTCAGACCGACATCGGACTCATATTCGGCTGCTACGCTGTCGCTAATTTAATCGGTTCATTAGTTTTAGGGAAGTTTGTAAGTGAGACATTACATTATTATGACTGCATCTGAAGTGTTCATGAGGACTCTCTGTTGCAGAAGTGTTCATGTGGACTGTCTGTTGCAGAAGTGTTCATGAGGACTCTCTGTTGCAGAAGTGTTCATGAGGACTGTCTGTTGCTGAAGTGTTCATGAGGACTCTCTGTTGCTGAAGTGTTCATGAGGACTGTCTGTTGCTGAAGTGTTCATGAGGACTCTCTGTTGCTGAAGTGTTCATGAGGACTCTGTTGCAGAAGTGTTCATGAGGACTGTCTGTCATGAGGACTCTCTGTTGCTGAAGTGTTCATGAGGACTGTCTGTCATGAGGTCTCTCTGTTGCTGAAGTGTTCATGAGGACTCTGTTGCAGAAGTGTTCATGAGGACTCTCTGTTGCAGAAGTGTTCATGAGGACTCTCTGTTGCAGAAGTGTTCATGAGGACTCTCTGTTGCAGAAGTGTTCATGAGGACTCTCTGTTGCAGAAGTGTTCATGAGGACTCTCTGTTGCAGAAGTGTTCATGAGGACTGTCTGTTGCAGAAGTGTTCATGAGGACTCTCTGTTGCAGAAGTGTTCATGAGGACTCTCTGCTGCAGAAGTGTTCATGAGGACTCTCTGTTGCAGAAGTGTTCATGAGGACTCTCTGTTGCAGAAGTGTTCATGAGGACTCTCTGTTGCAGAAGTGTTCATGAGGACTCTCTGTTGCAGAAGTGTTCATGAGGACTCTCTGTTGCAGAAGTGTTCATGAGGACTCTCTGTTGCAGAAGTGTTCATGAGGACTCTGTTGCAGAAGTGTTCATGAGGACTCTCTGTTGCAGAAGTGTTCATGAGGACTCTCTGTTGCAGAAGTGTTCATGAGGACTCTCTGCTGCAGAAGTGTTCATGAGGACTCTCTGTTGCAGAAGTGTTCATGAGGACTCTCTGTTGCAGAAGTGTTCATGAGGACTCTCTGTTGCAGAAGTGTTCATGAGGACTGTCTGTTGCAGAAGTGTTCATGAGGACTCTGTTGCAGAAGTGTTCATGAGGACTGTCTGTTGCAGAAGTGTTCATGAGGACTCTGTTGCAGAAGTGTTCATGAGGACTGTCTGTTGCAGAAGTGTTCATGAGGACTCTCTGTTGCAGAAGTGTTCATGAGGACTGTCTGTTGCAGAAGTGTTCATGAGGACTCTCTGTTGCAGAAGTGTTCATGAGGACTCTCTGTTGCAGAAGTGTTCATGAGGACTCTCTGTTGCAGAAGTGTTCATGAGGACTCTCTGCTGCAGAAGTGTTCATGAGGACTCTCTGTTGCAGAAGTGTTCATGAGGACTCTCTGTTGCAGAAGTGTTCATGAGGACTCTCTGTTGCTGAAGTGTTCATGAGGACTCTCTGTTGCAGAAGTGTTCATGAGGACTCTCTGTTGCTGAAGTGTTCATGAGGACTCTCTGCTGCAGAAGTGTTCATGAGGACTCTGTTGCTGAAGTGTTCATGAGGACTCTCTGTTTCTGAAGTGTTCATGAGGACTCTCTGTTGCTGAAGTGTTCATGAGGACTCGCTGTTGCAGAAGTGTTCATGAGGACTCGCTGTTGCAGAAGTGTTCATGAGGACTCTCTGTTGCAGAAGTGTTCATGAGGACTCTCTGTTGCAGAAGTGTTCATGAGGACTCTCTGTTGCAGAAGTGTTCATGAGGACTCTCTGTTGCAGAAGTGTTCATGAGGACTCTCTGTTGCAGAAGTGTTCATGAGGACTCTCTGTTGCAGAAGTGTTCATGAGGACTCTCTGTTGCAGAAGTGTTCATGAGGACTCTCTGTTGCTGAAGTGTTCATGAGGACTCTCTGTTGCAGAAGTGTTCATGAGGACTCTCTGTTGCTGAAGTTTTCATGAGGACTCTCTGCTGCAGAAGTGTTCATGAGGACTCTGTTGCTGAAGTGTTCATGAGGACTCTCTGTTTCTGAAGTGTTCATGAGGACTCTCTGTTTCAGAAGTGTTCATGAGGACTCTCTGTTGCTGAAGTGTTCATGAGGACTCGCTGTTGCATAAGTGTTCATGAGGACTCTCTGCTGCAGAAGTGTTCATGAGGACTCTCTGCTGCAGAAGTGTTCATGAGGACTCTCTGTTGCAGAAGTGTTCATGAGGACTCTCTGTTGCAGAAGTGTTCATGAGGACTCTCTGTTGCAGAAGTGTTCATGAGGACTCTCTGTTGCAGAAGTGTTCATGAGGACTCTGTTGCAGAAGTGTTCATGAGGACTCTCTGTTGCAGAAGTGTTCACGAGGACTCTTGCAGAAGTGTTCATGAGGACTCTCTGTTGCTGAAGTGTTCATGAGGACTCTCTGTTGCAGAAGTGTTCATGAGGACTGTCTGTTGCTGAAGTGTTCATGAGGACTCTCTGTTGCTGAAGTGTTCATGAGGACTCTGTTGCAGAAGTGTTCATGAGGACTGTCTGTCATGAGGACTCTCTGTTGCTGAAGTGTTCATGAGGACTGTCTGTCATGAGGTCTCTCTGTTGCTGAAGTGTTCATGAGGACTCTGTTGCAGAAGTGTTCATGAGGACTCTCTGTTGCAGAAGTGTTCATGAGGACTCTCTGTTGCAGAAGTGTTCATGAGGACTCTCTGTTGCAGAAGTGTTCATGAGGACTCTCTGTTGCAGAAGTGTTCATGAGGACTCTCTGTTGCAGAAGTGTTCATGAGGACTGTCTGTTGCAGAAGTGTTCATGAGGACTCTCTGTTGCAGAAGTGTTCATGAGGACTCTCTGCTGCAGAAGTGTTCATGAGGACTCTCTGTTGCAGAAGTGTTCATGAGGACTCTCTGTTGCAGAAGTGTTCATGAGGACTCTCTGTTGCAGAAGTGTTCATGAGGACTCTCTGTTGCAGAAGTGTTCATGAGGACTCTCTGTTGCAGAAGTGTTCATGAGGACTCTCTGTTGCAGAAGTGTTCATGAGGACTCTCTGTTGCAGAAGTGTTCATGAGGACTGTCTGTTGCAGAAGTGTTCATGAGGACTCTCTGTTGCAGAAGTGTTCATGAGGACTCTCTGTTGCAGAAGTGTTCATGAGGACTCTCTGTTGCAGAAGTGTTCATGAGGACTCTGTTGCAGAAGTGTTCATGAGGACTCTCTGTTGCAGAAGTGTTCATGAGGACTGTCTGTTGCAGAAGTGTTCATGAGGACTCTCTGTTGCAGAAGTGTTCATGAGGACTGTCTGTTGCAGAAGTGTTCATGAGGACTCTCTGTTGCAGAAGTGTTCATGAGGACTGTCTGTTGCAGAAGTGTTCATGAGGACTCTTTGTTGCAGAAGTGTTCATGAGGACTGTCTGTTGCAGAAGTGTTCATGAGGACTCTCTGTTGCAGAAGTGTTCATGAGGACTCTCTGTTGCAGAAGTGTTCATGAGGACTCTCTGCTGCAGAAGTGTTCATGAGGACTCTCTGCTGCAGAAGTGTTCATGAGGACTCTCTGTTGCAGAAGTGTTCATGAGGACTCTCTGTTGCAGAAGTGTTCATGAGGACTCTCTGTTGCAGAAGTGTTCATGAGGACTCTCTGTTGCAGAAGTGTTCATGAGGACTCTCTGTTGCTGAAGTGTTCATGAGGACTCTCTGTTGCAGAAGTGTTCATGAGGACTCTCTGTTGCTGAAGTGTTCATGAGGACTCTCTGTTGCTGAAGTGTTCATGAGGACTCTCTGTTGCAGAAGTGTTCATGAGGACTCTCTGTTGCAGAAGTGTTCATGAGGACTCTCTGTTGCAGAAGTGTTCATGAGGACTCTCTGTTGCAGAAGTGTTCATGAGGACTCTCTGTTGCAGAAGTGTTCATGAGGACTCTCTGTTGCAGAAGTGTTCATGAGGACTCTCTGTTGCAGAAGTGTTCATGAGGACTCTCTGTTGCAGAAGTGTTCATGAGGACTCTCTGTTGCAGAAGTGTTCATGAGGACTCTCTGTTGCTGAAGTGTTCATGAGGACTCTCTGTTGCAGAAGTGTTCATGAGGACTCTCTGTTGCAGAAGTTTTCATGAGGACTCTCTGCTGCAGAAGTGTTCATGAGGACTCTGTTGCTGAAGTGTTCATGAGGACTCTCTGTTTCTGAAGTGTTCATGAGGACTCTCTGTTTCAGAAGTGTTCATGAGGACTCTCTGTTGCTGAAGTGTTCATGGGGACTCGCTGTTGCATAAGTGTTCATGAGGACTCTCTGCTGCAGAAGTGTTCATGAGGACTCTCTGCTGCAGAAGTGTTCATGAGGACTCTCTGTTGCAGAAGTGTTCATGAGGACTCTCTGTTGCAGAAGTGTTCATGAGGACTCTCTGTTGCAGAAGTGTTCATGAGGACTCTCTGTTGCAGAAGTGTTCATGAGGACTCTGTTGCAGAAGTGTTCATGAGGACTCTCTGTTGCAGAAGTGTTCACGAGGACTCTTGCAGAAGTGTTCATGAGGACTCTCTGTTGCTGAAGTGTTCATGAGGACTCTCTGTTGCAGAAGTGTTCATGAGGGACTGTCTGTTGCTGAAGTGTTCATGAGGACTCTCTGTTGCTGAAGTGTTCATGAGGACTCTGTTGCAGAAGTGTTCACGAGGACTGTCTGTCATGAGGACTCTCTGTTGCTGAAGTGTTCATGAGGACTGTCTGTCATGAGGTCTCTCTGTTGCTGAAGTGTTCATGAGGACTCTGTTGCAGAAGTGTTCATGAGGACTCTCTGTTGCAGAAGTGTTCATGAGGACTCTCTGTTGCAGAAGTGTTCATGAGGACTCTCTGTTGCAGAAGTGTTCATGAGGACTCTCTGTTGCAGAAGTGTTCATGAGGACTCTCTGTTGCAGAAGTGTTCATGAGGACTGTCTGTTGCAGAAGTGTTCATGAGGACTCTCTGTTGCAGAAGTGTTCATGAGGACTCTCTGCTGCAGAAGTGTTCATGAGGACTCTCTGTTGCAGAAGTGTTCATGAGGACTCTCTGTTGCAGAAGTGTTCATGAGGACTCTCTGTTGCAGAAGTGTTCATGAGGACTCTCTGTTGCAGAAGTGTTCATGAGGACTCTCTGTTGCAGAAGTGTTCATGAGGACTCTCTGTTGCAGAAGTGTTCATGAGGACTCTCTGTTGCAGAAGTGTTCATGAGGACTGTCTGTTGCAGAAGTGTTCATGAGGACTCTCTGTTGCAGAAGTGTTCATGAGGACTCTCTGCTGCAGAAGTGTTCATGAGGACTCTCTGTTGCAGAAGTGTTCATGAGGACTCTCTGTTGCAGAAGTGTTCATGAGGACTCTCTGTTGCAGAAGTGTTCATGAGGACTCTCTGTTGCAGAAGTGTTCATGAGGACTGTCTGTTGCAGAAGTGTTCATGAGGACTCTCTGTTGCAGAAGTGTTCATGAGGACTCTCTGTTGCAGAAGTGTTCATGAGGACTGTCTGTTGCAGAAGTGTTCATGAGGACTCTCTGTTGCAGAAGTGTTCATGAGGACTGTCTGTTGCAGAAGTGTTCATGAGGACTCTCTGTTGCAGAAGTGTTCATGAGGACTGTCTGTTGCAGAAGTGTTCATGAGGACTCTCTGTTGCAGAAGTGTTCATGAGGACTGTCTGTTGCAGAAGTGTTCATGAGGACTCTCTGTTGCAGAAGTGTTCATGAGGACTCTCTGTTGCAGAAGTGTTCATGAGGACTCTCTGTTGCTGAAGTGTTCATGAGGACTCTCTGCTGCAGAAGTGTTCATGAGGACTCTGTTGCTGAAGTGTTCATGAGGACTCTCTGTTTCTGAAGTGTTCATGAGGACTCTCTGTTGCTGAAGTGTTCATGAGGACTCGCTGTTGCAGAAGTGTTCATGAGGACTCTCTGCTGCAGAAGTGTTCATGAGGACTCTCTGCTGCAGAAGTGTTCATGAGGACTCTCTGTTGCAGAAGTGTTCATGAGGACTCTCTGTTGCAGAAGTGTTCATGAGGACTCTCTGTTGCAGAAGTGTTCATGAGGACTCTCTGTTGCAGAAGTGTTCATGAGGACTCTCTGTTGCAGAAGTGTTCATGAGGACTCTCTGTTGCAGAAGTGTTCATGAGGACTCTCTGTTGCAGAAGTGTTCATGAGGACTCTCTGTTGCAGAAGTGTTCATGAGGACTCTCTGTTGCTGAAGTGTTCATGAGGACTCTCTGTTGCAGAAGTGTTCATGAGGACTCTCTGTTGCTGAAGTTTTCATGAGGACTCTCTGCTGCAGAAGTGTTCATGAGGACTCTGTTGCTGAAGTGTTCATGAGGACTCTCTGTTTCTGAAGTGTTCATGAGGACTCTCTGTTGCAGAAGTGTTCATGAGGACTCTCTGCTGCAGAAGTGTTCATGAGGACTCTCTGCTGCAGAAGTGTTCATGAGGACTCTCTGTTGCAGAAGTGTTCATGAGGACTCTCTGTTGCAGAAGTGTTCATGAGGACTCTCTGTTGCAGAAGTGTTCATGAGGACTCTCTGTTGCAGAAGTGTTCATGAGGACTCTCTGTTGCAGAAGTGTTCATGAGGACTCTCTGTTGCAGAAGTGTTCATGAGGACTCTCTGTTGCTGAAGTGTTCATGAGGACTCTCTGTTGCAGAAGTGTTCATGAGGACTCTCTGTTGCTGAAGTTTTCATGAGGACTCTCTGCTGCAGAAGTGTTCATGAGGACTCTGTTGCTGAAGTGTTCATGAGGACTCTCTGTTTCTGAAGTGTTCATGAGGACTCTCTGTTTCAGAAGTGTTCATGAGGACTCTCTGTTGCTGAAGTGTTCATGAGGACTCGCTGTTGCAGAAGTGTTCATGAGGACTCTCTGCTGCAGAAGTGTTCATGAGGACTCTCTGCTGCAGAAGTGTTCATGAGGACTCTCTGTTGCTGAAGTGTTCATGAGGACTCTCTGTTGCAGAAGTGTTCATGAGGACTCTCTGTTGCAGAAGTGTTCATGAGGACTCTCTGTTGCAGAAGTGTTCATGAGGACTCTCTGTTGCAGAAGTGTTCATGAGGACTCTCTGTTGCAGAAGTGTTCACGAGGACTCTTGCAGAAGTGTTCATGAGGACTCTCTGTTGCAGAAGTGTTCATGAGGACTCTCTGTTGCAGAAGTGTTCATGAGGACTCTGTTGCAGAAGTGTTCATGAGGACTCTCTGTTGCAGAAGTGTTCACGAGGACTCTTGCAGAAGTGTTCATGAGGACTCTCTGTTGCAGAAGTGTTCACGAGGACTCTTGCAGAAGTGTTCATGAGGACTCTCTGTTGCAGAAGTGTTCATGAGGACTCTCTGCTGCAGAAGTGTTCATGAGGACTCTGTTGCAGAAGTGTTCATGAGGACTCTCTGTTGCAGAAGTGTTCATGAGGACTCTCTGTTGCAGATCGTTCAAATAGGAGCTAAGTTTATGCTGGTGGCCGGGCTGTTCCTTTCATCGGGATGCACCATTTTATTTGGGTAAAACTAACTTTAACAAACTGGACTTTGAAGCCAGTTTAGTCACAAGAATGAGCCTAATCTTAATCTCCTGCTTTGTTTAATCCTCTGTTTCTCATTTCACTGAGGCCTCATTCTCTCAGATTTTATACTTATTTTATTAAAGATGGAGATTTTATTATTATTTATTATGTCAAAGATAGATATTTTGATACTTCTTTAATATTTAGGTATTAGTGTATTTGAATAGGGACACATTAATAACACTGGGTAACAAAACAATATTTTTTGAAAATATTTCAGGGTTTTCAGCTGAATTAGACTAATGTTGATGCTCTGAGTCTGAAGATGACCTTGGTTTTGCTCAATCAGGTCAGGATTTTTGCTACAGAAATATTTTTTTTAATTGATTTTGCGTAAAAAACAAATTTCTGCGGATCATCAGCTGAGAAACCCTTGACTTTTTTCCGTTTTCCTCAAGAAATAAAAGTCAACGTATCCAAAGTCATTCAGTTTTTGTTTACTCCATCAAATTTGATAAGCAGAATTCATAATAACGTAGACGTACATAATCCGTAACACTATGGCTGTATCTCACACAGTTGACCTGATAGAGACAAATGCATGTGATATTCTCAGAACACCAACATTAGAATCAGCTGAAAAACCCCTGACCATTTTTTGGCTGTCAACTTGTGTAATCATTGCTGTAAATGTGTCAGCTTTAGCTAAAGTTTCCTAACCCAAACATTACAATACAACAATAATTAGTTAAAACATCTACAAACGAACACATAATGAGTGGTTATAATCTGGACTGTCCAATAACCAGGTTTTTAACGTTTGTTAAAGTCCTGAGTGTGTTGCTCATGGACTGGGATCGTGCTCCAGAACAGAGGAAGCTGATTGGCCAGAGGAACTTTGTCTCAGTGGACGACAGGACCGTTAGAGGCAGCAGGTCTGGGCTTTCTGCTGATACTGGGGGCGGGGCCAGGACAGTTCAGATTTTAAAACCATAAAACCATCTTGAAATCTCCGTCTGTTCTGTACCTTGTAATGCAACACTGACATTTCCCTGCTGTGGGACTATGAAAGCATCTCCTTGTGTTAGCGTCTGTGTTAGTGTCTGTGTGAGCGTCTGTTAGCGGCTGTGGTGTGTTGCAGATTACTGGACCGTGTTCCTGCAGGTGCTCCGTTCATCGCCCTGTGCTTCGTCGTGAGATCCGTGGATGCGTTGGGATTTGCTGCAGCCATGACTTCTTCTTTTGCGATGACAGCTAAAATCTTCCCCAACAATGTGGCCACTGTCCTGGTGAGTGCACACGGCTCTTGTCCGGCTGGTATGTTGTTTTCACCGGCCTATCACGAGCAACACAGGCGGCAAAAGTGTTTCCATTCACAATTATTATCGCCAAGAATGAAAATGCTGAATGCAGCGGTTTTTAGGTATAATTCCCAAATGTATGAAACCAAAAAGATAAATGTTTAGTCTGTTCTGTGAAAGCGAGAAGAGGGAGAGCCTCTATCATGAAACTAAAGTGTTATTCCAGGGCAGTCTGGAGATCTTCACTGGCCTGGGGCTGATCCTGGGACCGCCGGTCGGGGGATGGTTTTATCAGACCTTTGGATATGAAGTCCCATTCATGCTCCTCGGCTGTTTCCTTTTAATTATGGTCCCGTTCAACATCGTTGTCCTGCCCACTATCGGTTAGTGCTTTTACTGTCTTCAAACATATGGATTTGTTTTAAGTATCTTAGATTTTGGATTCTGACTCTGACATAAAGTCATGTCACAAAATGTAAAGTGTTTTTAATCATTTGTTCCAGACGCAGATCCATCCAAAGAATCTTTCCTCCGTCTTCTCTCTAATGTGAAAGTGATTCTCATCTGCTATGCCATATTTACACTAAGTGCCGGCTTGGGCTTCCTGGACGCCACATTGTCACTGTTTGCCATTGAGAAGGTACAACACATCCTCGGTCTAGTATGTTTTTCCAGAGTAAATGAATGATGTTCCATGTATCCCCAGTTCGCCCTCTCCCCGGGCTCCGTGGGGCTCATCATGCTGGGGCTGTCCCTGCCCTACTGCCTGGCCTCTCCAGTCCTGGGCTATTTCACCGATAAGTATCCAGTGAGTTCAACTTTTATAACTGTTTTTTCATCGTCTGTTCCTGAATCTGGTCTGTTCCTGACCCAAAGGCTTCCAGGAGCTGGTTCATGGTCACGGGAGCGTTTACTACTGCAGTCGGCTTCTGTCTGCTCGGCCCGGCGCCATTTTTGAACATGTCTGGGTGAGAATGTCCCAAAGTATGAAGCAACATCAGAGAAACACAGATTCATCCAAGCCTCCTGTTTATTAGAAATGCTTTCTGACCTTTAATGTGTTCTGTAATTGTATTGCTATTACTCACTTTCAAAGTAAATTCTTGATCTGGAGAACAAAATCTTTTTTCTGGGACTCTTAGAAAACATTTCTAAACTGGTTAAATAAAATAAAACAGATTATCAGTGGCCATGCTGTTGTGACTTTAGGCCGCTGTGGCTGCTGGTCGTCATGCTGGGTGTAATTGGGTTTTCTCTGGGAATGACGGCGCTCCCCACGTTCCCGGAGATCATCACATGTGTGTAGTGAGTCACATGTTCCCTGCTGCATTCACTGCCCGGAGGAATCTAACCCTCAAACTGACATGATGTGTGCTCCTGCAGTGATCAAGGCCACGAGGAAGGCCTGAGCACGCTGGGGATGGTGTCCGGTTTGTTTGGAGCCGTCTGGTCCTCGGGGTCAGTAAACATGAAACTGGTTTGTCTGCTCAAAGATTAATATCTGTGTTTTCAGGATGTTTTATGGACCCATCGTTGGGGGTCTCATCACTCAGAGGCTGAGCTTTGAGTGGGCCGCACTGGTGCAGGGAGCACTGACTCTTTTAGCCGTAAGTCTATGTTTGTTTTAGTGCATTCTTACATCTCTGCAGCAGTCGCTTTGGAGGACTCTACTTTACGTCTTCGAAGCCGCCTGCAACAGCCGACTACTCATTACATTACTCATTCACATGGGCTACAGTACTACAGTACTACAGTACTACAGTACTACAGTACTACAGTAGTACAGTAGTACAGTACTACAGTAGTACAGTACTACTGTAGTACAGTATTGCAGTAGCTGAGTATTTCAATGCAGTTTGTCAGGTCAATGTTATTTGTACAGCACATTAACAACACCAGCTGCTTCACAGGCACCAAAGATATATTTAAATAAAAGAAAACAGCATGAGATACAGACATACGTAAAAGTGAAATGGTAAAACTCAGTGTTAAAAGCCAAGGTGTAAAATGTGTCTTTAAACTAGATTTAAAAACTTCCACTGAAGGAGCTGCTCTAATGAACAGAGGTCACTGTTCCACAGTTTGGGAAAGCAGCAGAAAAGGATCGGTCTGGTCTGGTCTGGTCTGGGGCACGTTCAACAGAAGCTGGTTTTCAGACCTCACTGATCTGACAGATACACAGGGGCCAAACCATTCACACATTTAAACACAAGCATCAAAATCTTAAAATCAACCCTGACTGTACCTGTGAGCCAGTGAAGTGAGGCCAGCACAGGGGTGATGTGCTCTCTCTGTACCTGTGAGCCAGTGAAGTGAGGCCAGCACAGGGGTGATGTGCTCTCTGTACCTGTGAGCCAGTGAAGTGAGGCCAGCACAGGGGTGATGTGCTCTCTGTACCTGTGAGCCAGTGAAGTGAGGCCAGCACAGGGGTGATGTGCTCTCTGTACCTGTGAGCCAGTGAAGTGAGGCCAGCACAGGGGTGATGTGCTCTCTGTACCTGTGAGCCAGTGAAGTGAGGCCAGCACAGGGGTGATGTGCTCTCTGTACCTGTGAGCCAGTGAAGTGAGGCCAGCACAGGGGTGATGTGCTCTCTCTGTACCTGTGAGCCAGTGAAGTGAGGCCAGCACAGGGGTGATGTGCTCTCTCTGTACCTGTGAGCCAGTGAAGTGAGGCCAGCACAGGGGTGATGTGCTCTCTCTGTACCTGTGAGCCAGTGAAGTGAGGCCAGCACAGGGGTGATGTGCTCTCTGTACCTGTGAGCCAGTGAAGTGAGGCCAGCACAGGGGTGATGTGCTCTCTCTGTACCTGTGAGCCAGTGAAGTGAGGCCAGCACAGGGGTGATGTGCTCTCTCTGTACCTGTGAGCCAGTGAAGTGAGGCCAGCACAGGGGTGATGTGCTCTCTCTGTACCTGTGAGCCAGTGAAGTTAGGCCAGTACAGGGGTGATGTGCTCTCTCTGTCCCTGTGATCACCTGCTGAAGGCTTTAATGAGCTCAGGTACAGACCACAGTGAGTTACTATAATCTAATCTAGATGAAATAAAAAGGTGGATAACTCAGAGTCAGTGGGATGTGAACCTTCAGACCCAGACCAGTTTTACTCTCTGTGAGAATTAAAACATTTTGGGCCAAGTTTTAACTTCCTGGAGACAATCTAACAGTGTTGAAATAGACACTGAGATTGGATTTAAAGGCAGGTACATCTGCAGGTCATCAGCATAGGCTTGAAAGGAGACAGAATATCGCCAAGTGGCAGCTTAAACGAAAAGAGGGCGGGGCCTAAAATGGAGCCCTGTGGAACCCCACAATTGAGGGGTGCCAGGCCAGACTTGTAAGGCCCAAAGAAAAACAAGTGTCCCCAAGATATGACCTGAACCAGTTTAATGCAGTGCCTTGTGCTCCAAACGCCAAATTAAAATGCTGTGATCTACAGTGTCCAAAACAGCTGTCAGATCTGAAAGAACTAAAATGGAGAACCAGAGTCAGCTGTTAGAAGCAGATCATTGAAAACTCTGAGCAGTGCAGTCTGTGTTACGCAGAGCTTTAAAAGCTGTTGAAATGTGTCAAAGAGGCCACTCCGGTCCGACGTCTCTATAGAAAGTCATGTGACATGTTCTACTCACATAATGAGTCTTTGTTCTGGTTCTCAGGCGGTTCTACTTGGTCTGCATTACATCTTTTACGTGCCACATTCCCAAAGGTAACCCTGTCAATACAATCATAAAAAATCAAACTTTACATTTGAGTTATGTGTTTAAGACAAACGACTGAACCGACGACAGAAGAAAGCACTCCTCTCCTGGAGCCATGAGGCTCGTCCAAAGTATCTTTATTTTATTTGTTTCTGGAGCACATTGTTTGTGCACTTTTGAGTCCACCGAGGATCTTCTGAACTGAATCCAAAGCTTGGATTTATGGAGCAGCTAAATGTTGATTCAGATGTAGAGTTTGAGAATCACTCTGTGCCTCCAACACTTCATGAAGTCATTTGTTTTTTAATAACGTGTTGAATGTTTGAGTAAATCCATTGGTTATAAACGTCCACTTCTAAACATTGTTTTGGGTCAAGTTTCTGGGTTTAAATTAAAAGTCATTAATTAAAGATAGTTTCTGTAACAAAATACTCATCATTAACTTACATTTGTGTTCATGAGTCTGTTTAAGAACTCGTCTACCACATTTTAATTACACAAACTTTTGAGACAAAGTAGTGTAACGTAGTAATATGTAACTCATTACAAAAGTAACACCCGCCTCATTTTGGCTTGTGCACAATGGTTGGGCATACCCAAATGTCTTTGCTTATTTAAAAACACATCTTACATCTCACATGCTTGTGTGATGCATCATTTTAAAGCTAGAGCCTTCTAGTTTATGTAAAAAAACACTAAAATAATGTTTGCCATTCCTATTTCCCTCTGCATCCTTTGAAGTTTGGGGAAAAAAAACCCCGCCTAACATTTTCAATTTCTAAAGGCCCTAAAAAAGGCATACTTCATTGTAAGTTCACAATATTCAAACCCTGTGGTCATTGTGTTGTTGACAATAACTGTCTAAAGTTTCAGACTTCTAAGTTTTATAGTTTTTATGCAGTTTCTCCTTTTCATCAAGTAGTGCACATTTGTATGCAAATATCTTTACTGACATTTAATCATCATAAAAACAATATGTTTTATTATTGGTACTTATAAGTTACTAATCTATGGGTGTTTTTTTTTAAATGTCAAAGTTATTTTTTTATGAGTGTAAATTCATTGCAGCTTCGAGAGCGTCTTTTGGCTTCCATTACGCACAATTCTACAGGCACCAACATAAGACAGGACACCATTGTCCCACCCCTTGCTCAAAAGCTTTCCTCATTGGCTACACGGACATGTCAATCAAAAATCCCGGAAATAGAAGCAAATAAGTAGGGAACACAACAAAGATCAAGGATCCATGCGCAAACAGCAGCGGTAGTTGTATTCACGGGAGCTCTTGCAGATCCAAAAATTGGTCTAGCTTTTCGGGAGTAGTCTCATTTGAAAGATAAGGAGCTAAGGAACACGTGGATACCAGATGTTCGGGGGAAACACAAAGCTAAAAGTCCGTTAAAAGTGAAAGAGCGGAGAGTTCCGGTAATGGCGTCGGTGTGATCAGACGCACGTGAAAAGCTCCCTGATACTGCAGCTCAGTTCTTATTAATACACGCCGAACTTTATCAAGATTTGTACTTGCTAAGCCACGAGAAGTACTATTACACCTCTGAGCACCAAAATGAGTAAAACGAGCAGCGGCCGAGGTAAAAACCAGCCTCCGCTAACACAGCACTTCAGCCAACAAGACAAGGAAGCTAGCAAGGGGCCGCTAACACTGAGCATGCTAGTCGGAGAGTTGGAGAAGCTTCATAAAAGTGTGACAAGTGAGCTCACCGGGTCCATAAACAGCGCTTTGGCTCCTCTTCAAGCCTCGATCCAAACTCTGACTGAGACACTTCACACACCGCCACCATTGACGCCATGGAGACAGCTCTCTCCTCTCATTCAGATGGGATCACCGCCCTGGAGGAGCAGGTGACCACGCTTCAGTCTGAACTAATGACAGTCAAACAGGTGAACGAGAAGCTCCAATTGACCGTGGAAGACCTGATTTCTCGCTCCAAAAGAAATAATCTCCGCATTGTCGGCGTCCCGGAGGGGGCGGAGGGCGCTGACACTCGTCTCTTCGTCACCACAATGCTTAAAAAAGTCAGCGGAGATGCTCTTCAAGACCTGGACCTCGAACTCGACCGCGCTCATCGCAGTCTGGCCCCAAAGCCACTCCAAGGATCCCGACCCCTCATCGTTAGGTTCCACAGGTACATCCACAGAGAAAAAGTCTTGCAATGGGCCAAGAAGAACCGCGATGTATCATATCTGGGGCAGCCTATCCGGATCTTTGAAGATTTCAGCAACACCATCGCAAAGAAGCGGGCCAGTTTCAACAAGATCAAGAGCCAGCTCTACAAAGATGGAATACGCTTTGGCGTCATCTATCCAGCCCGCTTGAGAATCACCTTGAACGGACAGACGCACTTGTTTGACTCAGCGGAGGAGGCAGAGCGGTTCTACTCGAGGAGCAAGGGATTGTATGGTGGGCCAAACGTCCAAATTCAGTCAAGGTAAAGTTTAACAACAATTATTTGAAGAACATTATGAACAATTTCAACAGTTTCAAATGAACATTTACTCTGTTATTACCAAAAAAAAAAAAAAAAAAAAAAAAGTGGCCACATTTGTTTGTGTGTAATATGTATTAGTTATTAAGGGAAGCTTTCAAAGATTACCGGAGTTCTGTATTCTTTCCTGCTAGCTCATCTTTTTTGTTTTCTTAGGTGAGTTTAGGACAGTTTGTTGTTTCTGATGCAAGTTAGAGCGTCAGTCACAGTTAACATGTGTGGGGGGGTTGTCATTTTATGTGTCTTTTTCCTCTTTTTTTTAATTTTTTTTTTCTCAATGAATATACTCTATTGCAGTGCTCATGCTATTGCATTTCCACTCGATATGGCACAAGCTATTTTGTTTATTTCATGTTACCAAACTATAACATCTGGAAACAAACATTTTTGACCTAATGGAAGAACTAGACTCTATTAGATTTACGTCCTGGAATGTAAAAGGACTTGGTGGACCCGTCAAGAGAGCGAGAGTCTTTTCACATCTTAAGCAACTCAAATCAGAAATAGTTTTTCTTCAAGAGACCCATATGCGTGTCTGTGATCACACCAGGCTGCGGAAGCCCTGGGTTGGACAGGTGTTTCATTCAAGTTTTAATAGCCGATCTAGAGGCACTGCAATATTAATACACAAAAAAATACGGTTTTCGCCTGATCAGATTCTACCGGACCCAAATGGACGTTATATTATTGTTGTTGGCAAATTGCTCCAAACTCCAGTTATTTTGACATGTGTTTATGCCCCCAACTGGGACTGTCCTAGCTTTGTCACAAACCTACTGTCGCTAATCCCTTGCTTAAACACACACCACCTGATCTTTGGAGGAGATTTGAACCTGGTGGCCCAGCCCAATATGGATAAATCCAACCCTAAAAACACAGCTCCGTCAAAGATGGCGAGGGCCCTGATTGATGTAATGAATCAGATAGGTTGTATAGACGTATGGCGCCATAATCATCCAACAAGGAAAGAATTTTCATTTTTCTCACACGTACATCAGAGCCATTCTAGGATTGACTACTTCTTTTTAGACAAAATGTTGCTACCTGCGGTGAAATCCTGTGAATATTCTGCTATAGTCATCTCAGACCATGCTCCTCTTTTGTTAGACGTTCAGCTTATTCCCAAAAGTGCAAATAGGCCGACTTGGCGATTTAACGCAGGATTGTTATCTTCGGATGCATTTTGTAAATTTATATCTGAGAAAATATCTCTTTTTATTCAAACTAATAAAACTGAATCCACTTCTGCATCCCTTTTGTGGGAAACTCTTAAAGCAGTATTACGTGGGGAGATTATTTCCTATTGTGCCAGAGTGAACAAACAGGAAAAGCAAAAGCAAGAGGAATTACTGGAAGCAATTCGTCTCATTGATAACCAACATTCTTCCAACGCATCACTCCGTACAGAGAGACTAAAGCTCCAAACTGAATTTGACATGATTACCACCAGCAAAGCAGAGTCACTTCTAAGACGTACAAGATACACATATTATGAACATGGTGACAGAGCGGGTCGACTGTTAGCATTGACAATCAAACGACAAGACTCATCTCGATTTATTTCACAGATCTGTAAAGACCCACATACAAAAATCACTGCCCATTAGAGATAAATAAGACTTTTTGTCAATTTTATTCTAACCTTTATAAATCTGAGGCTCAGTTGGACAAAACTCAAATGAACGCCTTTTTGGATGATCTTAATTTCCCTCAAATTCCCAATACAACTAAAGAGAATCTTGATTCTCCTCTTTCTTTGGATGAAATTATAGCCAACCTTAAGCGAATGCAAAATGGCCGCGCGGCGGGCCCGGACGGCTTCCCAGCAGACTTTTTGAAGAAGTTTTCTGACCAACTTGCTCCTCTGCTACTTGAAATGTTTAACGAATCACTGGAATGTGGGAACCTCCCTCCAACTTTAACGCAAGCCTCAATATCACTTATTCCAAAACCAAATAAAAACTTGGAGGAGTGTAGTAGCTGGAGACCCATAAGCCTCCTCAATGCTGATGTTAAGCTACTTGCTAAGACTCTGGCCAGCCGTCTGGACCCCTGCCTACCAAATATAATTTCCAGTGACCAAACTGGCTTCATAAGAGGTCGTCAGCTATCTACAAACATTCGTCGGTTGCTCAATATTATCCTTTCAGAATCCAATGTTGGGGAGGCTGAGTTGGTAATATCGATGGATGCAGAAAAAGCTTTTGACCGGGTGGAGTGGGGTTATTTATTTTCTGTTTTAAGCAGATTTGGGTTTGGTGCAAAATTTATATCATGGATACAATTATTGTACAACGCACCTACTGCCAGTGTGACTACCAACTCCACCCGGTCCGAATACTTCCCTTTAACACGTGGCTGTCGACAGGGGTGCCCTTTGTCACCTTTGTTATTCGCCCTAGCGATTGAACCCCTGTCGATGGCCATTAAGAGCTCTCCATTCATCTCTGGTATCTGCCGAAATGGAATTGAACACAGAGTTTCACTTTACGCTGACGACCTTCTGCTCTATTTGTCTAATCCCACTACCAACATTAACCATATTCTTGAAATTCTTCAAATATTTGGCTCATTTTCAGGCTATAAACTGAACTTGAATAAAAGTGAATGTTTTCCTGTGAATAATGCAGCAAAGAATATTTCAAGCCAAACATTGCCCTTTCGAATAGCCCATACTAGTTTTCGCTACTTAGGCATTAACATCTCACATGACCTCAACTCACTTTATAAAAATAACATAATGAAAATAATCAAAGAGGTAAAATCAGATCTTAAACGTTGGAACGCTCTCCCACTGTCCCTATTGGGTAGAATTAACACTATAAAAATGAATGTGGTTCCTAGAATTTTATTCCTTTTCCAATGCTTGCCGATCTTTCTGCCAAAATTTTTTTTTAAAGAATTAGATAGAAACGTTTCAACTTTTATTTGGTCGGGTAAAACCCCAAGGGCAAAATACTCTAACCTACAAAGAAGTAAAGGTGACGGAGGTCTTGGGCTCCCAAATTTTTTGATATACTATTGGGCTGCCAATATTCAAAAAATTTACATGTGGTACAACTTTCCTGAGATAGATTGGTGTCAAATGGAAGCTCGCTCATGTAGCTCTGTCGCTCTAACAACTTTAGTTTGTGCTCCTCTGAACTCCTCTCCTATTAATTATACCACAAACCCGGTTGTCTTATCTACAGTAAAGATTTGGAGGCAGTTCAGACGCCAATTTAAAATGACTTCAGGTTCTCCTTTAATGCCCATTTGTGGCAACCACCTATTTCAGCCCTCAAATTATGACACAGTTTTTACTCTGTGGAAGGACAAGGGCTTGGTTTGTTTTAAACATTTGTTTGAAGATAAAGTTTTTATTTCCTTTGAGTCTCTCAAAACAAAATTTGGGCTACCACAATCTCACCTGTTCAGATACTTCCAGGCCCGCAATTTTGTCAGCCATAATTTTCTTGATTTCCCTCATGAGCCACCAGATACCCTAATAGAAACAATCTTATCTTTCCCCACAGCCTGTAAAATTATTTCATCTGTGGTAAAGATTACTGTTTCCCCATCTCCCTTAGCAATTCGGAACACCTGGGAATCAGAACTTAACGTCACTGTCTCAGATGAATGGTGGCAATTGGCCTTGGAAAAGGTCAACAATACCACTCCCTGTGCCAGTTTGACTCTAATACAGTTTAAAGTTCTGCACAGAACGCATTTGACCAAAGTCAGACTTAACAAATTATTTGGCACTGGTGACACATGTGACAGATGCTCTCTTTCACCTGCTAATCATTTGCACATGTTTTTCTCCTGTGTTAAACTGGGACATTTCTGGTCGTCTTTTTATGATATACTATCTAAAGTTCTTAACCGACCTGTGATTTCCAGCCCTTTTATTTCTATTTTTGGTGTACCTGAGAACTTTGCAAATTTCTCCATCAGGGAGAGAAATGTCATTGCTTTCTCTTCTCTTGTGGCTCGCAGACGAATCTTACTTCATTGGAAAGATCCAAAACCACCATCTTCTAAATCATGGATGAGAGACCTTATGTCCTTCATTCACTTGGAGAAGATCAAATTCAGTATTAGAGGGTGCACAGATAATTTTAATAAGACCTGGGGTCCTTTTCTATCTTTGGTCAATGCCATGTCATCCCTAGAGGACTGATAAGTCTGGTGACTCATGGAGCAGGATGATAACAATTTATACTCCTCTTACACTGTATTTCAACTTTTAAAGTACTGTGTATATATATTCATTGTATTTTTGTTTTATGTGTTTATTTACTTTTTTATTTGTCTGTAACTTTATTTGTCATTTATTTTCATTTTCTTGTGGGGGGAACACTGTTTTGTTGTTTTAAAAAAAAAAGACCAACTTTTTTGAAACACTTGGAAAATGTACATTTTTGCTGAAAACTGAATAAAAAGAAGTTTAAAAAAAAAAAAAAAAAAAAAAAAAAAGTGAAAGAGCAACATCTGTGCTCTTTTTTTTCCGTTTTTTTCGCTAAAGATAAATGCACATTTTTGGATTATTTCTGCAGAATGGATTTTACTTTGGGAAATACAAGTGGATATAATCTTCCTTTGGACTGTTCCAGAGAGAATTATGTATTGCAAGCTGGGAGGAGAGCTGATTTATTTGTACAGCACAAGCCCAAAAATAAAAAACTATTTCGGTATTGATTTATTTTGTGCCCACATTATGTGTTATATCTTTTGAATGCAAAGTCTGATGTAGTTTACACTTGTATATAAATGTAGATAAGAAAATAAGCTTTAAAATGATATACAGCTTTTGGGGTTTGGTGTTCAAAATACATCTGCTATTGCCGGCAGAACATTTAAAAACATAAAAACGGCGCGCCGGTGGGTGTTAAGAGGTTAAACACGTGTAAGAATAATGCACTGTTTTATTCATCACACTTTAGTTTCTGGTCTTTGAGGCAGTTTTTAAATTACAGAAAGAAGAAGAAAGAGAATCAAGACAGCAGTTTCCAAATTATTACATTTATTTCGGGGTATTTTCTGAAAAGTGAGTCTTTTTACATAAATAAAATTAGAAAAAGTATAAACAAGTGTTTACAAAATGCCTACTTTCAGGGGTCAGGCTCAAAGGCACCGTTGGTCCTTCCACTGGGTCTGTTTGGGAGTGGTCTCCCTGAGGTCCTGTGTGTGTTTGTGTGTGTGTTTGTGTATGTGTGTGTGCTGGGACCGGCCACGTCCGCCTCTGAACAAGTCCTCTGAGACAATCCCGGCTTTTTCAACTTCTTCTTTCTTTTACTTCTGTCAGAAAAAAACATTTGTTTGAGCGTTAAACAACAGTCCAGAGATGGTTTTAATGTTGTGTCACTTTAGAAGATCTAATTCAGACGTTTCAGAAAGGTCTAAATGTGTCACTCACTTGGTATTGATGAGCTCTGGATCTGTGTCTGAAAAGGTCGGTTCAGACAAAAACTTGAGCTCCCCAGAAGAGCTGACGACGGCGGACACCTTAGAGAACATAGATCCCACTTTAACTCTGCCATTGACAAACTAATGCGTCAAATCAAATAGTAATGTTATGTACCAATGTTCAAAGGCACACATGCATCTTTCACTATTGTCATGTTCCCAGATGTCTCTTCTATCTAACATGTTTGGGGATTAACTTTAGAGCATATTTTATGGAGCCAGCAGGTGGATGTTCTGAAAACAGGATGCACTTGTTGTGAGCTCTGTTTTCAAGACTTCCACATTTGTTTTTGTTGTTTTATTGAAAGGAACAATGATCACAAGTTGAAAAAATGACTAAAGTAAAACATATTTGGTCAAAGTCACTTTTCTGCATGGTGTCATTTTCACATAAGTCTCTTTCTCAGCTTTTTGTCTGAGACTGGGGATTTCAGTAAAACTTCCCTCTACCTGACCGGGGGTTACAGGAGAACAAAGCCATAGGAACAACCATTCTTCTTGCTGATGAAAGTAGACAGTCCATTCTTTCAGAATCTGGTTTTGGATTTCAGATAGTCATAGTACACAATATCCTGTGGGTCTTGAAATATCAGTAAAAAACCATCAGAAACTGCTGGCGATATGGGAGTACCTGTTCTGAAATGGGCTGGCAGGCAATAAGATACAGTATGCCTGTGTGGGCGTGGCCTGTACACATGTGTCTTACCCGTGTGGGCGTGGCCTGTACACATGTGTCTTACCCGTGTGGGCGTGGCCTGTACACATGTGTCTTACCCGTGTGGGCGTGGTCTGTACACATGTGTCTTACCCGTGTTGGCGTGGCTTATACACATGTGTCTTACCCGTGTGGGCGTGGCCTGTACACATGTGTCTTACCCGTGTGGGCGTAGCCTGTACACATGTGTCTTACCCGTGTGGGCGTGGCCTGTACACATGTGTCTTACCCGTGTGGGCGTGGCCTGTACACATGTGTCTTACCCGTGTGGGCGTGGTCTGTACACATGTGTCTTACCCGTGTTGGCGTGGCTTATACACATGTGTCTTACCCGTGTGGGCGTGGCCTGTACACATGTGTCTTACCCGTGTGGGCGTAGCCTGTACACATGTGTCTTACCCGTGTGGGCGTGGCCTGTACACATGTGTCTTACCCGTGTGGGCGTGGCCTGTACACATGTGTCTTACCCGTGTGGGCGTAGCCTGTACACATGTGTCTTACCCGTGTGGGCGTGGCCTGTACACATGTGTCTTACCCGTGTGGGCGTGGCCTGTACACATGTGTCTTACCCGTGTGGGCGTGGCCTGTACACATGTGTCTTACCCGTGTGGGCGTGGCCTGTACACATGTGTCTTACCCGTGTGGGCGTGGCCTGTACACGTGTCTTACCCGTGTGGGCGTGGCATGTACAGATGTGTCTTACCCGTGTGGGCGTGGCATGTACAGATGTGTCTTACCCGTGTGGGCGTGGCCTGTACACATGTGTCTTACCCGTGTGGGCGTGGCCTGTACACATGTGTCTTACCCGTGTGGGCGTGGTGCGGTCTGCTGCTTCAGTCTCCTGTTTTGAAGCTTCCTCGTAGTCTCCTGAAACAAATAGATTAGATAATAATTGCTGCAGACGTGTCATAGTCACTCCTTTTCATGTATATATTTCCAGATGAAGTAGAACTTTGCTCACCTTCTATAACACATTATAAATGTGTTATACAAAATGTTCCGTTTCTGTCCTGAGGCCTTTATCAGGAAATTTCCCAATACTATTACTTTTTGCCAGGACAGCAGTGTGCAGGAACCTTTATATTTCAGATTTCTGCAGCTAAAATCTAGAAAACCTGAAAATGTGAGACAGACTTCTACTATTTCATTATGTATATGTTTTTATTTTCTCAATCTCGTAACAAGCGTGTTCAATTGTGCCATCTAAATAAACTTGCTTTGCCATCACTACAGTTACTAATCCTATATCCACTGTTCAGTGATGTCTCTGGAGAAACTTGGGTTTCCTCCGGGTGCTCCGGTTTCCCCTGTACAATAGTTCATTGGTAGTTCGTGAGTGTCACTGTGAGACAAACATTACAAAACATTCCAATCTGGAGAGGTTTATTTGACAACTGTCCTAACCAAATACAGATGAGTGATAAACCACTTGTTCCAGCCCTGGTTAAACCACATCAGACAGAAGTCCACACAAAGCCTATGACAGAACACTGGAACATGATACTTACTCTGGTCCACGGCGTACGAAGCCAGGAAGTATCCCTGCAGCCCGTTGGACAGACCAAACCACCAGGTGTCATTGTCCTTATAAAGAACCCGGATCACGTCCCCTCTCTGTATGGAAAGCTCGTCTGATCGATTGGCTTTGTAGTTGTAGAGCGCCACAACCTTCAAAGGAACTCACAGATCAACACGTGGAGAAGCCGAGGAGACTAAAGGACTTACCGTTTGCTCCACGGGGGCAGCGTCTGTAGTTCCACCAACGGCTGAAGACTGAGAAAGGAAAACACTGTTACATTCCCTTCAGAGAGTCAAAAACAACCGTCCTTCTCACCGGAGGTAGTCTGAGAGACGCTGCTCTGAGCCGCTGGCCCACAGGAGTAAAGCCACCTACGATTAGAGAAGTTATTATCATATTTATCATAGGTAAACACATGTAGACGTACGGACACATGTTATAACGGTGAGCGGGGCGTGTGAATCCCTCTGTGTGAGGAACATGCTGCTGCTGCTGTACTCACGGCTGACAGTGGGCAGAGCGGCCCCCGAGAGCTGCAGCTGAGAGGGAGGAGGTACCGGGCTCTTTAATCCTCTCTGCACAAACCAAGAATGTGGAGCAGTTTAAGATAAGAATGATTTCAATATCAACTGTAGAAATAGTGAAACTCACCGTGCCAGAGTCAAAGGTCAAGCTCCTGCTGATCTGACTGAGACCTTTTCTGTCTGAAAAACACTTTGTTAGAGAGAGGTTTTTGTACCAGGATGAATACTAGTACCTTGTTCCAAAATCAAAGCAGTTGTGGAACCCTGATGTGGTTCCTAAAAGGATAAAAAGACATTTAATTATGTAGCACATTTTCCTTCAGTACAACAATCGACGATGAAACTGACCAGCACTGAGTCCAGCTGCTGTTTGACCGTCTGCATCCTCAGGGCCTGTCTGGTGGACTGAGTGAAGAGGTCCAGGGCAGAGGAGAGGGGAGTGTCCGGGTCCAGGGCGGAGTCCAGAGTGTCCCTCAGGGTCCTGGGGTCCACCGAAGCTGCTCGGCTCCCTGCCTTCATGTTGTGCACCTCCAACTGAGAAACTACAGCTGAATAATGAATGAATGCACTTCACAAGGTCCACTGGTTTTCCCTTCGTTTCTTTGCTTTAGTGTGAAATCTTTGCATCTGCATTTCTGACGGTCATTCACATGTTTGCCTGTGTACTTTGAAGAATAATCACTACTTGATAATATTGTGTTTTTAATTGTAATTTTAACAACAGAGTCAAGACAGATAAACACCAAATAAATAGAATCCAAAATGATCCACCATGAACATGTTTTCAGATACAATACTATGTATTCTAAATGTGTTATAAATGTGTTATAAATGTATTCTAAATGTATTCTAAATGTGTTATAAATGTGTTATAAATGTATTATAATGTGCAGTGATCTAAGATGGCAGTGTTAAACTGTAATCAGACAAACCTTTGCGATCGTAGACGTACACATGGATGGGCTGATTCTGGCCAAAGGCGCAGAAGGCCACCATGTTTTCATGAGGATGGAAGGACACGCCATGGAGGGCAGTCGGGTAACAGAGCTCAGAGTACACCGCCACCTGGTCTCCTGCCAGAACAACAGACCATAAGAGACATGACCCCTCCGAACCATAAAGTATACAGAATATTATATGAAGCTGCCGTTTGCACCTGTGTCTGTGTTCCAGACGTAGGCCATGCCGTCCTCGCTCCCAGAGAAGATGAAGGTTCCACATGGTGTGAAGGTGCTGTAGATCCTGTCTTTATAGTTAGTGGCTCCGGTGTATTTCTTTACAGCCAACCTGAGAACACATTTACAGCATTGACAGTCTTCTATGTCTCTGTTTGCTGTATTTTGCCTCTAGAACAGTTATGGGTGTTTTTACATTCTCAGGTCGATCATCCTCAAGACACTGTCTTTGGCGTGGATGAGCAGACAGCGGCCGTTGGGATGGAGCTGCACCTTGTTGATGGGAACCCCTTTCAGATCTGCCTCCTGTATTTTCTGTCAACAACATAACGGGTCAAAGCACTGTCCAGAGGTGACATGAACTCATCCAATGGGAATATTTAAGCCGTCACCCACAGACAGGAGCACCAGCAGCTGCTGTGGACACTCCTCTCTATCTGTATATACATTTACCACAAACCTTTTCTATGCACCAGTGTTGACAGGGCTGACGATCATTCACCCAACTTTTCCAAACTATGATAGTGCCAGCGTTGTCTGCAGAAAACATTCTTCCTCCTAATAATGTCAAGTGAGATATAATTATATTAGAAGACAGAAACAACATTAAACACAAAGTGAATCCATTTTACAGTGAACAGCATTCTTCATTAGAAATCATTTTTAGCAGCATTTCTTCTGACATTAACATTAACACACCATTTCTACTTTATAAATCACATGTTTGTTATAAAGGTCTGTATACAGCTGATTCTGTGCTAGAACATGAATATCACACATAAGGGAGATGGATGGTACCTTCTGAATCAAAGCCAATGGTGTTGATGAAGCTGGAGTGACCTTCAAACTCCTGCAGAAGTTGTCCGTTCATATCGTTCACGTTCAGTCTCCAGACACGGACCACACTGTCATACCCCCCAGTGACCACCAGGCCCTGGGAGGACGGGTGGTACTGGGCACAGTACACAAACGAGGGATGAGGGAGCACTTTCTGCGCGTTTGGAGATAGATGTTCAATGTCCCACTCTCTACGAATAGATAAATGACAAATCAATGACTCCCTCTTGTGGTGAAAATTAACAATACAGCTTGGTCCTCAACTGTCCTGGTGGTGGCCACTTTTTGCTTGGCTTGATCTAAATGTTGTTGTTTTACCTCGATATTTATATATCTTATCAGGAAACTGTCCAGTTACATTGTTTACAAGCACTTAGACACAAGTTCTATCTGTGAAGAGTCTTCTTTTTAAGCAGGCATTGCACCACTTCATAAATAGCAAGCCACCACCACCAGGATTGTCCTGACCTTTACTGGATAAACACTTATTGACAATATTAACAGCATTTCTGACCTGACAGTTCCATCAGAAGAAGCCGACAACAGTCTTCTGTCATCTCTGGACCAGCAGAGATCATAAACTATTTTAAGATGACCATTGAAGGCGGCCAAAACTCTCCCAGATGGAATCTCATACACTGCAAGAGTAGAACCAGAGCTGACTCAGACAATTCTACATAATTGTGCATTTGTGTTTTAGTGACACTGACCCACAACGGGGAAAGCGTCTCTGTCGGCACAAGCAGCTGCCAGAACAGTCCCGGCGTTGGAGAAGGTCACGGTGAAGCAGCCCATCTGACCGCCACGAAAACACAACATGGTCTTATTTGGAATACGGCAGACCTGTTTACACCGACATGTTACACATTGTGTATAATGACTATAATGAATATATGTTCTGAAAATGCTTCTGACCTGACCAGGGAGACGACTCCACCTGTAAACATGAGGCTTATCGTCCGGAGCCTGAGGAACTCCTTTCCTTTCAGAGACTTCCTTTTGGAGCTCGCTGTAGGTCGTGCTGCCTCGCTCCTCCTGTAGAGCCATCATTGACCTCATGCAAGGGTCCACCTGGAGAACAGAGAAGCAACAAATACAAAGATCGCTCCATGATATAAATACATTATATTAAATATTACGTATTTATATCATGGAAGTATAAAATACTTACATGTTCAGGCAATTTGATTCCTTTCACTGTAACATAAAGTGTGGAGGGATATTTGTGTTTTGAGTACTTCCTCCACCACTCAACCACCTCAATGGTTTTCGGTTGAGTTTTGGCCCGGAGCGGAGGGTAAAAGAGTTGGAGGCGGAGCTTGCTGTCTACATTCAATACCCCATTTGTTCCAACAAGCTAAAAAAACAAACATACATCAAATCATACAGAGGACACACACTTGATGGGACTATTGGCTTCAAACACCAGGCAGTGCTGCTCAAGAGCAGAATATACTGTACATGTGATCAACAGGTTAGACCTAGAGCCAGTGGGATCTACATCCTGATATACATCCTGGTCTCCCATCACAGCACAATCCAGAGCCTGTCCTGCTTAGCTTCTGAGAACTGTTGAGATCAGACTTAGTTTATACACATTTCAGATGTCAATACCTTCAGAAATGCCCAAGCAATCTTCCTAAATCCTCGTTCATTTTTGTCCATGCCAACATTGGCTCTCGCTGCTTCTTCCATACTCATGAAATCCAAGATCTAAAAGTGTGCAAAGGATCTCAGTAAAAGAATGTTTAGTGTTCGTCAAAGAAAGACTCCTCACCTCAAAGAAAAGTAAGACTTTAGGGCTCTCCTCCTCGTTTTCCACGAACCAACCAAAGCGCTCATTGAAGATGATTTGTTCGTGCCACTCGGGGATGACACTTTTGTGTTTCTTGAAGTCGAATGGTTGAGTCATGATGGGCAGGATGTGATCCACACTGTCACTCTCATAAAAGGACGACACAGGACGATGACTAGATAAAAACAACGGATCAAATGGTTTTAGGACAAAAATCAGTTTGAAGACGGCATCAATCTTCAACCAGTGTTTCTATCAGGGAAATTATTTTGAAATTCATAACATCAAAAGTTGAACTAAAATACTAAAAACAAGAACAAGTATTGCCAATCTACTGTAAACCAGACAAACAAACATGGTACTTCTGTGTCACACAAAGGAACATGATGATTAAATGGTCTCGTACCAGTCCTCCTTCTTCACATGCTGCCCTGTGGTTTCGTCCACCACATGGACCTTGACCATGGGGTGTGAGATGAGAAGGTCAGTTTTCAGGGGGTCTGTGCGGTGGACATAGACTCCCAGGACCAGACTCTCGTCAAAGACCGGTCTCTGAGGCTCTTCTGCAGCAGCTTCAATGTCATTCTCTTCATCTGCAGAAACACACAGAGACAGGAAGTCACTGTTTCACAGACAGACGGTCACAACTGCTGTACAGTTAGATATGGTGGTCATAAACTACTGCTGCAGCCACACCTGCCCTGGGCCAGACTGACCAAAGCAAGGCTGCCCAATCTATTCCACTATTCTTCCGATCACCACATAAATGTTTAAATATTCAACTTCAACAAGCAGGTGACACAGTCCAAACAAGAAGTTAGAATTACCATGGATATGTTTATGTTTCTTCTTCTTTTTCTTCTTTTTTCCTTTGGACTCTACTTCATTATTGACGTCTGAGAGCGGGTATGCAAGTTCCTCAGTATCTCTAAAGAACCACAAAAGCAGCTATTCCTTGAAATCACACACATTCAATTACATCGTGTCTACTCAACAAAACATTCTTCAAATATGTTGCTAAAATAGTTAATACACTTACCCGACATCAGAGTCTGGAGGCGCAGACTTTAGCTTCTTCTTCTTCTTCTTCCCCACATGATTATTAAGAGGGGCCTGTTGGGAGGCGGTGCTGTCCTCCTGTGCAATCTGCTGCTGATAATAAAGCAACAGTTTGTCCTCTGGATCCTCTAAAGGACCGTCCACGTCCTGCTTTTCCTGTTTGGCTTTTCCCTTTTTGCTTTTTTTCTTTGGCTCTTTAACTGCTGAGACATTAAGCGTTTCTGAAATGATATTATACTTTGAAATCTCCTTGATATTGTCATCAACTGAAGGAGGTGCAGGAAGTCTTCGCTTTTCTTTTTTGCTTTTCTTTGTTACTTTTGGATCATGAATCTCTTCTTCATTTAAGCTGTTGTTAAGATTGTCCTTTTCTCTGCGCTTGTTCTTTGTAAAGCGAGGGCTGTCCTGATCACAGTCGTGTGTATTTGGGAGGACAGTCTCATCTTGGTCTGTGTCCTTTCCCACGTCTCTCTTTAGAGTCTGAAGCTGTAAAGGCACAGAACTGCAGTATTATAACTGTGGGTGACAAACCTATCAATATAAATGTAAACATAATGTTAAAAACCTACAGCAATATCATCCGGTTCTTTTCCTTTTATCTTCTTCAGAGGGTCTTGCTCTGTGTACTTCTTCAAGACTTCATTGAATCTCTCCCGGGTGTTTGCCCGTTTGTCATTCTCACCTTTCAAAACAAGATCTTAGTCAATATCTACATACAAACATATGTATAAGTGCATATATATATATAATCTATACATACACATGTAATATATACATACTATACATACACATGTAATATATACATACTATACATACACATGTAATATATACATACTATACATACACATGTAATATATACATACTATACATACACATGTAATATATACATACTATACATACACATGTAATATATACATACTATACATACACATGTAATATATACATACTATACATACACATGTAATATATACATACTATACATACACATGTAATATATACATACTATACATACACATGTAATATATACATACTATACATACACATGTAATATATACATACTATACATACACATGTAATATATACATACTATACATACACATGTAATATATACATACTATACATACACATGTAATATATACATACTATACATACACATGTAATATATACATACTATACATACACATGTAATATATACATACTATACATACACATGTAATATATACATACTATACATACACATGTAATATATACATACTATACATACACATGTAATATATACATACTATACATACACATGTAATATATACATACTATACATACACATGTAATATATACATACTATACATACACATGTAATATATACATACTATACATACACATGTAATATATACATACTATACATACACATGTAATATATACATACTATACATACACATGTAATATATACATACTATACATACACATGTAATATATACATACTACATACACATGTATATATACATACTATACATACACATGTAATATATACATACTATACATACACATGTAATATATACATACTATACATACACATGTAATATATACATACTATACATACACATGTAATATATACATACTATACATACACATGTAATATATACATACTATACATACACATGTAATATATACATACTATACATACACATGTAATATATACATACTATACATACACATGTAATATATACATACTATACATACACATGTAATATATACATACTATACATACACATGTAATATATACATACTATACATACACATGTAATATATACATACTATACATACACATGTAATATATACATACTATACATACACATGTAATATATACATACTATACATACACATGTAATATATACATACTATACATACACATGTAATATATACATACTATACATACACATGTAATATATACATACTATACATACACATGTAATATATACATACTATACATACACATGTAATATATACATACTATACATACACATGTAATATATACATACTATACATACACATGTAATATATACATACTATACATACACACATGAAATATATACATACTATACATACACATGTAATATATACATACTATACATACACATGTAATATATACATACTATACATACACATGTAATATATACATACTATACATACACATGTAATATATACATACTATACATACACATGTAATATATACATACTATACATACACATGTAATATATACATACTATACATACACATGTAATATATACATACTATACATACACATGTAATATATACATACTATACATACACATGTAATATATACATACTATACATACACATGTAATATATACATACTATACATACACATGTAATATATACATACTATACATACACATGTAATATATACATACTATACATACACATGTAATATATACATACTATACATACACATGTAATATATACATACTATACATACACATGTAATATATACATACTATACATACACATGTAATATATACATACTATACATACACATGTAATATATACATACTATACATACACATGTAATATATACATACTATACATACACATGTAATATATACATACTATACATACACATGTAATATATACATACTATACATACACATGTAATATATACATACTATACATACACATGTAATATATACATACTATACATACACATGTAATATATACATACTATACATACACATGTAATATATACATACTATACATACACATGTAATATATACATACTATACATACACATGTAATATATACATACTATACATACACATGTAATATATACATACTATACATACACATGTAATATATACATACTATACATACACATGTAATATATACATACTATACATACACATGTAATATATACATACTATACATACACATGTAATATATACATACTATACATACACATGTAATATATACATACTATACATACACATGTAATATATACATACTATACATACACATGTAATATATACATACTATACATACACATGTAATATATACATACTATACATACACATGTAATATATACATACTATACATACACATGTAATATATACATACTATACATACACATGTAATATATACATACTATACATACACATGTAATATATACATACTATACATACACATGTAATATATACATACTATACATACACATGTAATATATACATACTATACATACACATGTAATATATACATACTATACATACACATGTAATATATACATACTATACATACACATGTAATATATACATACTATACATACACATGTAATATATACATACTATACATACACATGTAATATATACATACTATACATACACATGTAATATATACATACTATACATACACATGTAATATATACATACTATACATACACATGTAATATATACATACTATACATACACATGTAATATATACATACTATACATACACATGTAATATATACATACTATACATACACATGTAATATATACATACTATACATACACATGTAATATATACATACTATACATACACATGTATATATATACTTAATACACATGTAATATATACATACTATACATACACATGTAATATATACATACTATACATACACATGTAATATATACATACTATACATACACATGTAATATATACATACTATACATACACATGTAATATATACATACTATACATACACATGTAATATATACATACTATACATACACATGTAATATATACATACTATACATACACATGTAATATATACATACTATACATACACATGTAATATATAACATACTATACATACACATGTAATATATACATACTATACATACACATGTAATATATACATACTATACATACACATGTAATATATACATACTATACATACACATGTAATATATACATACTATACATACACATGTAATATATACATACTATACATACCAAAACACACATATATCTATATCTATGTCATTTGCCACATGCATTACTACTATAGTCAGTTATGTGTTGAAATAAACCTTACCTGTTGGCATCCTTAAGCACCATGACTCTTCTCAAATCCCAGTAATGTTTGTAGTCAAGCCACAATGTGGCGTTACTTCTAAAAATAGACAATCTTCTTATTGTTTGTCTCGTTAGTAAAGCTTGTAAAGGACTTATCGTAAACTAGGGTCACAATCACAACGCAACCATTTTGAACACATGTATAAACATAATTAAATTCAAGGTCTTAAAGTGTCTTTGTGGAATGAATGTATTGGCGTTATCAATGTTAGGTTAGCGTTAACTCGAGCTAGCCCAGGCGGTTAGCAGTTAGCCGTTAGCATTGTAAGCTAACGTTGTTCATGTCTTTGTGTGGCTCAGCAGAAGGAACAGAATCTTACCGCTGCGGTGGTTAAAATGGTCCAATATGTTGTAAACACCTGTGAAATATTGAAATAAATACTGTGTTAGGTTTTACAAAGTGCAGTGATTACAGGCTGCGGCTTCAATAACGCTGCTTCTGTTACCATAGAAACCTTAGGGGGCGGGGCCAAAATGACATACTCGTGACGTACTACGGAAAAACATGACCTTTCCACCAATCACAGGCACGTCTGTGTCACGCTTCACCCGGGGATATGTTGACTCTATTTTAATTATACAAGGGCATAAAAAACTACCCAAAAAGATCAAAGTTTACACGCTTTAAAGTCTTATGATCATTGTTTAGTTCAGTTTGTTTACTGTGATTTAGGCAACACCTAGAATGGTCATAATTCAGAAGGGGCTTAGAAGAAGAAAGTCTCAGAGTAGTTTCAGAGTGATATAATTGAAAAACATTTAAAGCCATAATTCTGTTTGATTGATTTGATGTATACATGAAGAACCTAAAACATACAGGCAGCTGTTTAACATCCCAACAATGGCATAAGAAAAGCAAGTTCTTAGAAACAGCTGAGCACATACTGGGTTAAACGCCTAACATAACATGTGAATTGCCTAATTTCAAAACTAAAGTGCAATAAATCTTTACAATTATATGGTACATGTGGCACAAGTGAAGCACAGTCTTTGGGAACTACTTTAGCAGCGTATTAAGCAATACTAGAAAGTGTAGTGCAGACATTATTTCAAGCTCTTGTTATTTCGTAACACTTGGAAGGAAAAGTGCTTTTGCTAATACAATATTAGGAATCTTTAAACACATGGCTGACATTTTGTAATTGTAACAGCAGCAATTATTTTGCATTTCAATAATTATCAGGAAAACATCAAAGCAAAGCTTTTGCAAAACACCCTTCATAATATCTTCAGACATCCCCTGCTCCTGGAGTCCAGGAGGCAGCTGCAGGGGTTCAGTCAGCAGCACTGAGGCCTGCAGGGGCTCAGAGGACCTCTGAAACAACACAAGAAAGAACACAACAATCATAAGGTAATGTTTCATCTTTTTATCATGATTCAAGAAAGAAAACATGTAAAACATCCTCAATCTATTTTTATTCTCAACTTGTTTCACGTCAGATTCAGATTGATTTTATTTGCCATTTGCAGTACATTAAATAAGGTTAAAAATATAGAAATAAAACACGTCTAAAGCTACATTATATATAGTATATTTTTACACCTATCCCACCTCCCTCTTTGGATTCTCACTGATCTCAGATTGACAGCCTATTTTTAAACCTGGAGCATGAATATTGCAGTGACCTGCTCGCTGCTGGCTCTGGATCTCGTCCAGTCCGCTGAGAGTGCGCAGAGATCTGCGCTCTTTAAAGGCCACGACAGGAACCACGTCATCGTCACAGTTGATTTCCAGAGTGGAGGGTTTTGTCACGACCTTCGCTGCCTCCTCAATGCTGCTGCTCAGAGGCTGCGTGTTCTCCTTCACTGTGACCGGCGTCTGCAAAAGAATGACCAGGAACAAACATGGCAACGGCAAAAGAAATGTCTTATTTTCAAGTGGAGTTAGAATGGTGCTTTGCTTTAACAAAATCCATGTACTTAATACATTTATGCAATAAACACAAAGAACTGTTAGCCAGTGTTGGATCATGAGACGCCAGAAGCAGTTTATTGTTCTGTGTAATAATAAATCCATTATAATTTACCATATCTGGAGGATCGGTTCTTCTGGTTCTCCGCATGATCTCCTCCAGCCTCTGAAACCAAAACACAGCAAATTGTAAGAAACGAATGCCCTCTGAAGTCATTTTTCAAAGGACGATCACAAGAGGAAGTCTCTGGTCTCTCTCTGGTCTCTCTCTGGTCTCTCTCTGGTCTCTCTCTGGTCTCTCTCTGGTCTCTCTCTGGTCTCTCTCTGGTCTCTCTCTGGTCTCTCTCTGGTCTCTCTCTGGTCTCTCTCTGGTCTCTCTCTGGTCTCTCTCTGGTCTCTCTCTGGGCTCTCTCTGGTCTCTCTCTGGTCTCTCTCTGGTCTCTGTCTGGTCTCCCTCTGGTCTCCCTCTGGTCTCCCTCTGGTCTCTCTCTGGTCTCTCTCTCTGGTCTCTCTCTGGTCTCTCTCTGGTCTCTCTCTGGGCTCTCTCTGGTCTCTCTCTGGTCTCTCTCTGGTCTCTCTCTGGTCTCTCTCTGGTCTCTCTCTGGTCTCTCTCTGGTCTCTCTCTGGTCTCTCTCTGGTCTCTCTCTGGTCTCTCTCTGGTCTCTCTCTGGTCTCCGTACCTTCTTCCTCGCCTGCCGTTCTCCTTCCTCCTTCTGTGCAGTCAGTTTTCGTTGCTGTTGAAGAAGTTCGACTCTGGCCTTGTCTTTGGCCTGCTCCTCTTCTCGCTGTAATCGTCAGGATTTATTCAAAAACAAACAAACAAACCACATTAAAAAAAACAATTAAATCCCTTGTATTTAAAAATCCATCCACAATTTCTGGATTCGGTCAAATAAAATCCATCCATTTTCTTCCCATTAATCCACAAACGTCCACAGAGCACCGGCCCCTCACTGATCCTCCTGCAGGTGCTGAGTCCACAGGATCTTTCAGTGGGGGCTTCAGGCAAAGTGGTGTTAAGTGTCTTGCCCAAGGACACAACGACAGCAGTCATCAGTGGGAGTCGTGAACCTTCAGGCTCAAAGGCCAAAGCTCTACCAACTGAGCCACTGTCCCTGTTTTCATTCATCAAGAACCAAAGTGGGAGGTTGGAAGACGATCAGATACCGTCGTAGTTCCATAAACGAGTTATTCCCATGACCCGCCGGGCAGCGTCTGGGAAACCAAAGTCTTTGGTTCCGGGGGAGTATGGTTGCAAAGCTGAAACTTAAAGGAATTGACGGAAGGGCACCACCAGGAGTGGATTCTGCGGCTTCATTTGACTCGACACGGGAAACCTCGCCCGGCCCGCACACGGACACGATTGACAGATTGATCGCTCTGTCGCTTCTGTGGGTGGTGCTTGGCCGGTCTTAGTTGGTGGAGCGATTTGTCTGATTAATTCCGATAACGGGGCGATAAGGGGCGACAGTAGCTCAGTTGGTAGAGCAGTGGTCTTTGAGCCTGGAGGTTGTGAGTTCGATTCCCACCATGGGACCTACTCCAACTGCTCCCACTGATGTCTACTGTCGTTGTGTCCTTGGGCAAGACACTTAACCCCACGTTGCCTGAAGCCCCCGCTGAAAGACCAAGGCAGTTTCACCACTGACGGAGCAGCCATCTTCCTGTGGACTCACCCCCTGCAGAGGATCAGAGGGACTGGTGCTATGAGACTTGGGGGCAGCTCTCATTGCCACCCCCCTGACCCAGAAATGGACAATAAAGGGCTTGAAAATGAATGAAAAATGAATGAATGAATGAATTCCGATAACGAACGAGACTCCGTTATGCTAAAATAAAATCCAGCTTCAGATAATAGAGTAAGTGCCAAAGGTTCAGGAGAGGACGCTAACACGAGGAGGGCTGTGGACCTTTGGGACATTATGTAAATGTCACTAATGTGAGATCAATAAAGTTTATTTTATCTGGTCAGACAGTTTCTCTTACGAGAGGAGTACAGCTGCCAGGAATAGCCTTCTGGTTTAATTCACTTTTTAGTTTGAACTACATGATAATATCGTAGTTGATTATTTGCTGAGTGGTTAGCACTCTCGCCTCTCAGCACGAAGGTCCTGGGTTCAAATCCAGGTTGAAATGGGGTCTTTCTGAGTGAAGTTTGCATTTTCTCCCTGTGCTTGAGTAGGTTTCCTCCAGGTACTCCGGTTTCCCCTACCACTAAAAACATGCTCACTAGGTTAAAAGCCGAGCATCAACATCTGGAGATGGTTCCCAGGCGCTGTTACTACGGCAACCACTGCTCCTGACATTAGCAGCATCAGGGTCAAATGCAGAGGATGAAGTGCCCTACAGGATCAATAAAGTGCACCTTTATCTTTACACAGCAGTAAGAACACATAAACAGAGGCAGAGTGAGGTCTGGTTTAGTCTTATGGCTTCAGGAAAGAAACCCTGTCTCATCCTCTTAGTATTAGTCTTGAGGAGACAATAGCGCCACCTAGAGGCAGCGGCGTAAACAGTCCTGAACGATCTTCTCCTGGTAATGATAATGGAGTTTATGGACGTGATTTTGTGTTGATAGGGGGCAGACATTATACGTTTTTACTTCTTTCTGCTCCTTTTCATTCATGCTAAATGCTGTTGTTGCATTTGTTTTTAAATGAATGAAATAAATAAAAAAATGAAATGAAAAATGAAAATGGACGTCCTCTCCTCTGTTACTACACAGGTTATGGTTTCTTCCAGAAAGGCTCTGAACCTATGACTTTAACGACATCTCGTGGCTCCAGAGAAACCCATCTCTGTTGTCATTACATAGACTCTGAGTGTTTCAGTGTGACCTGTTTCTGCAGCAGCTGTGCTTCTCGTTGCGCCTGTGCTCTCTCTTCATCAGCTCTCCTCTGCTCCTCCTCCTCTCTCCTCCTCTTCTCCTCGATCAGGAGTTGAACTGCAGCCTCCTCCGTCCTCCTGCGCTCCAGCTCCTCGCCATGTGTCCTGAACCGACAGAAACATTTTCTCATCCGCCCCAAAGAAAAAACACATGACTCATTTGCACTTTCATTTCAGAGGAAGTCATGAAAAGTCTGTTCTATAATCACGGTCCTTCTGTCACAGAGTTTGTTCAGACAGAAAGCTGTCAGCCAAAGACATGTCCTATAATTATGACTATATCACCAAACTCTTTCTGTTAAGACGAATAGTTATGATAAAGAGTCTGGCACCTGAGCTTTAATCTAGTTTATTTCAGTAAATCATCAGGATTCTAAAGAACCATAACTTTTCTCGTATTACGTCTAATGCTTTGCCTGGAGGTGTCCCAGGCCTGTCCCATCAGGAGGAGACCCCGGGGAAGACCCAGGACACAGAGGGACCATGGATGGAAGGTATTACAATAATCAGTAAAGTTAATGATGATGTCACACATGCAGCAGGACCCACCGTTGGTCCTCCTCCCTCTGCAGCCTCTCCTGCTCCTCCCTCTGCAGCCTCTCCTGCTCCTCCCTCTGCAGCCTCTCCTGCTCCTCCCTCTGCAGCCTCTCCTGCTCCTCCCTCTGCAGCCTCTCCTGCTCCTCCCTCTGCAGCCTCTCCTGCTCCTCCCTCTGCAGCCTCTCCTGCTCCTCCCTCTGCAGCCTCTCCTGCTCCTCCCTCTGCAGCCTCTCCTGCTCCTCCCTCTGCAGCCTCTCCTGCTCCTCCCGCTCCCTGTGGAGTCTCCTCTTCTCAGACAGGACTCGAGCGGCCTGCTCTGGGTCTGTGGTCCCGGCCTTAGACTTGGACCTGATATCTGGGAGCTGACGCACTGGGCTGGGATGTGTGGGAGGAGCCTGTGTGGGAGGAGCCTGTGTGGGAGGAGCCTGTGTGGGAGGAGCCTGTGTTGGACCTGGGCAGAAAACAGCATCTTAACAAGCTTTCAACCACAGATTGCTCTTATAACTAAAATGATTCAAATTGCTGCACTATTTTGGCAGAATACATAATTGCAATGAGATTTACAATATACATTTTAGAAGTATTCAATTTTTCAAGTGTTAAAGCTGATTTATGTCTTTATTTGAGAATATTGTCGTGTTGACTTCAAGTTTCCACTCATTTAAAAATACAGCTTTGCTTAGAATATAAATAAATGTATACTAAAATCTAAGTTTTTTTAGATGATTCTTGTCTTTGTAGATAAATCAGTCTAAAATATCTGATAGCTCACTTCCGTCTCCCTCTGTCCGGCAGACAGTCTCCTGGGTTTCCAAGATGGCCGACAGGTTGGAGCGAGGAGCCTCAGGAGGTCTCTCTTCACATATTTTCAGAGTCTGCCCTTCGCCGGACGTCCTCGTGGCTCTGATGGTCCTGAGCGGCCTGGTGTTCCCGGGACAGGGGGCTTCCATGGCCACCTCCTCCTCCGGGACAGAGGGGAGCTCCGGGGGCTGCGGGGCTGAGTGTCTCTGGATTGATTTCCTCAGAGAGCTGTCGACCCACAAAGACATGACCGTGACACACTTTCTACTATTTACTAATGAGCAATGGCTGCAACGACCAATACTGTCAGCTTTATATATAGTCTGATCATTTACATTTCAGTAAAAAAGTGAAGGTCAAAGATAAAACATGGACTGAAATACTACAATCCTCAAACGGGACAGTATTCTCTCAACATATGTAGTAAGTAAGTAAGCTTTATTTATCTGAGCTTTAGTGAGAGCAGTGTCTGTGACTGTGACGTACCGCTCTGCAGAAAGAGAAGGCTTTGGACTGGATTTGACCAGAAACGTTGCGTTAAATGAATGGTTCCTGTTCTTATCGTGAACAAGATCCACTTTGGCAGCTTTAACCTGAAACATCAAGAGCAATTATGTTCTACAATTAACACCACGTATGTCAAAACACTGAGTGTTCAGTTCTGTGTTTACCTGTGCCACACGGGGGCTCGCTGTGCGGAGGCTCCTGGGTCCAGGGGAGGTCCAGGTGCCAGGTGGTCTGGACTCTGGTCTGGATTCTGGTCTTGGCTGGGGTCTGGACTCTGGTCTGGACTTGGGCCTGGACTGGGGCCTGGGCTGTAGTCTGGACTCTGGTCTGGACTCTGGTCTGGACTCTGGTCTGGACTCTGGTCTGGACTCTGGTCTGGACTCTGGTCTGGACTCTGGTCTGGACTCTGGTCTGGACTCTGGTCTGGGAGTGGAGGTGGAGTGATATGAAACTGCACGAGGACAAACATGGACTGAACAGGCGTGTTGTAAACGTCATGGGAACAGTGTGAGACGTGGAGGACAGAGGAGGACAGAGGAGGACAGAGGACAGAGGACAGAGGACAGAGGAGGACAGAGGACAGAGGAGGACAGAGGAGGACAGAGGAGGACAGAGGACAGAGGAGGACAGAGGACAGAGGACAGAGGAGGACAGAGGACAGAGGACAGAGGAGGACAGAGGACAGAGGACAGAGGAGGACAGAGGACAGAGGAGGACAGAGGACAGAGGAGGACAGAGGAGGACAGAGGAGGACAGAGGACAGAGGACAGAGGAGGACAGAGGACAGAGGACAGAGGAGGACAGAGGAGGACAGAGGAGGACAGAGGACAGAGGAGGACAGAGGACAGAGGACAGAGGAGGACAGAGGACAGAGGAGGACAGAGGAGGACAGAGGACAGAGGAGGACAGAGGACAGAGGAGGACAGAGGACAGAGGAGGACAGAGGACAGAGGACAGAGGAGGACAGAGGACAGAGGACAGAGGAGGACAGAGGAGGACAGAGGACAGAGGAGGACAGAGGAGGACAGAGGACAGAGGACAGAGAAGGACAGAGGACAGAGGAGGACAGAGGAGGACAGAGAAGGACAGAGGACAGAGGAGGACAGAGGAGCAGGATGGAAACGGAAGATTTAATTAGGTTAAGCGGCTATTTTAGTTTCATAATTTCATTCCTGACAAGAACACACAGTGGATCATTTCAGCAGAATGAATGAATGAATGAATGAATCACTATGTCACACTTTCCCAAAGAAATAAATGTGTTTTTGTTTCTTTAAGTCTCTCATAGTGAACCATCCTTGTCTCACACGGACTTATGGAGGACGACAGTCATAGACACAGAACTGACCCTGGCTATAAAATCACACTTCTGTTTGGACAAAAGAAGTTAAAACTGGGGTAATTTATAAACTACAAACACTAACTTATGCGAAACAGTTTCTCTCAGAATTCAATTCAATGTATTCTTGTATCGCCCTGAATCACAGCAGTAGTTATCTTGGAGGACTTCACACACACAGATCAGAGAATCAAACAGTTTAAACACAATAAATGCAGAGATAAAAACACACAGAGCCATTGGTCCATAAGAGGCAGAGGCCGGTGTCAATAATGTAGATAAATGTCCGTAAATCCATTTGGTTCTATCCCTAGGTCTCACATGCACGGACTGTAATCTTGGCCTCTGCCACATCTGTAGATCAGAGCCTCACATAGTGACTCTCAGGCTCTTTCTTACAAGTACCAGCAAAAACTGACATGTTTTTCAGTAAAATGAAGACAACATAATATGGCCTGATTTGTCATCTTTACTTTTACAGGATTCTTTCTGTTGGACAAACAACATGTATTATCTTACCCCAGTTTTAAGGCCTAAACTATAACCTCTATAAGGTCTAATAGGTGAGTACCAGGTAAGTACCAGGTGAGTACCTTGCTCCCCTGGTCCCTGGCCGCCCAGGCTCCTGCTGCGGTTCAGAGAGGAGCATGTCGGGGTGAGCAGGCGCGACACCAGCCTCCTCTGCCAGTCCCACAGCCGGCTACCATTAACCACTACATTATGTTTTTATGCACCAGGAACAGCAGCCGAGAGCCAGAAAGATGGAGACAGAGTTAGGCACGAATTAGAACTGATCCAAGGGGAGCAGAGACAGACACAGACACAGACGTTACCATTGGATCTGGATGCTTTCCTCCCGCGGCTCAGGCTGTGGTTCTTCGCTCTTTGGCTTCTCTCCAGTGTCTTACGAACGGCAGATTCATATCTCTCCTTCAGTTGGAATCAGACATGAGATGTTTTTCAGATTGGTCACTCCCGTCATGAGGCTCAGACCGTTTTAAAGACATGAATGAATTCTGAGTGTGTGATGAGAGCTCACTTTCTCCTCCAGGAGCTGCAGCCTCCTCTTCTCCTCCACAGCTGAGCGCCGGGTCTCCTCTCTCCTTCGCTGCTGCAGGAGCCTCCTCTGACGCTCCTGCAGCTGCTCTTCATGAAACTGTTTGGCCTTCAGCTCTCTCTCTCTGCGCAGCTGCTCTCGAGAAACTGCAGTCACCATGGCATAAAAACAGAGTATTCTAAATGACACAGTGTAGTCAGTGGTTAAAGCTGGGTGGATCTGACTTTAGGGTTAGGGCAAGATTGTTAAAGTATATTTTCACTTCATACGCTCTGTGTCTTATGAGAAAACAGGATAAAAAACTTTCCGTGGGTTTATTTAGTACATACTCAGTGATAAACTACAGCCTCAGCGACTCTGGGCTGTGAAGTTCACAGAGGTCTCCCATCACATTACTACCCAGGCCATACCCTGCTTAGCTTCAAAGGTCTGATGAACTCTGGCTTTCACCTGCAGGAGGCGCCATATCATGTAACTAAGCAACAGTGAACTGGGCCACACATCCTCTGATGTAAGTTTAGATATATGTGGACAGGAGAAAGGACATTTACTGTGACTTTGGAGGAAACCATTAAAGAAAAGAGAGAATATGAAAAACTGTTCAAGAAGTGCTTCACAATCTGATGATTTTATATAAAGTCAAAATGAGAAAATCATAAAATCCTGCGACACAATCATAAAACAGTATTATTCTTATATCTGTAGTTTCCTGAGAATCTCCTGATAATATAAAGCTACAGTCTTTCTGTGTCACGATGTGGTTTACCCAGAATCCTCTGCTGCTGCTCTCGTCGTTCTCGAGCTGCTTTGAGCCTTTCGTCCACATTTTGACCATTTTGAGCTGAAATAACATAAAGGACATAAGTGTCAAAGATGCTGAACACAGAGTTTCTCTCACTCGGATTCAGTTTGAGACGATAAAACCAAACACATTTAAACATGACGTCACTGACACATGATGGACCAGGGAATGAAACCCACAACCTCAGAAGTGGACTCAAACCTGTGATTGGCCGTGGACTTGTGGGGACCTGTCTGTGACCGGGACAAGGCGCCTTCTGAGGACTGCATTTGAAGTAAACGTCATTCTCTACAAAGGAAACAAAGAACACGGAGTATCTCAGTGACTTTCTCTGAACATCCACAGAACAGACATCTTGGATCCAAACCCAGGACGGTTTTGTTTGTGCAGCAGCTTTAGGGCAGTGTGAAAGAACCAGTGTCGTCACGTAAAAGGCAGAGCGAGCACATAGCACCTGATCCGTACAGCTTCATCATGAGCAATTAGCCAAAGATGAAATCACATGGACTTCACTGCTCAAGGCTTTCAGACTCACAAACAGCAGAGACTTAGATTAGAACACATGATCATCTGCAAAAGTCTTCATTTGGAATCTGTGAAAACAATCAGGCCTTTAAGTACATCCTGCTTATGTTGTAATCAGCAAATACAAATACAAACGTACTGTGTGTATTTTAACATATTCGGTAAGAACCAACAACACATGTTTTTAGGATTCGACAGAAGTCACTGATTTTAACCGAATCAAAATACTGTGATTAACTCAGATTCCAGAAAAGTGTCACATGATCCTTATTGTCCCAGATTTACTCATAAATCCTGGTTTTGTTCTGTTCAAATCCCAAACATGACATTTACAGATGAATCCAGGATGGAACAGTCCACAGCCTCGTTTTACCGTCTGACACTTCCTGTTTATGTTCTGTGTGTTCTGTGTGTTCTGTGTGTTCTGTGTGTTCTGTAGGTTCTGTAGGTTCTGTAGGTTCTGTAGGTTCTGTGTGTTCTGTAGGTTCTGTTACTGACAGTAAGAATCATGTCATGAACCCATCTCCACAGCCCCCGCAGCAGCACGCGCTGGGTTTCAGTCCTACGTCATCAGCTCAGGCAGATGATCCCTGAGGATACTCTACAGCAGCAGGACTACGCATCAGGACATCAGGACATTAAAACATCAGGACAGTAGGACAGTAGGACAGTAGGACACACACTCACTCACGTGTGGCGGTGCGGACACTCTTCCTCTGGCTCAGAATGATGTGTGTGGAGAGTGGTCCCTGAGACGGAGGGACGGCTCTCTGCTCCTGCTCCACAGCCAT